AAATATATCGATGTTTTGCTGATAAATTAATACTGCCAGTCTTACTCTTTCCTGACAGGAGTGGTATAGTGAAATTGTTCCTTATGGTGTTAGTGATCCATAATGCAAAAAAAAAAATGGACAGAGAGAGGAGCAGACAGCCAGGCTGTTGACCGGGGTAAAGTTAGCTTGAAGTTCGAAAACGATTTTGGCACGCCTTTAGCGCTTTCACGAAACCTCCTAGGGTTACGAAAACACTTGCTTTGTGCATAAAATACACTGTGAATGCTTTCTTAGCCTTCACTTTGTCGTTTTTTGACATTTTTTTGACCACGCACGAATATTCTTTTGTCCATATCTTCGCAATGGAAGCACAGAACGCCTTCAAACAAAAAGCATTTTAAAAGACGACCTCTACATCAAACTATCAGTGAGCTAATTATCTTTTTTTAAACCTCCGGTTTTTCAACGATGCGTAATTGCGCACTAATTCCGAGGGGACCGCTGTGTACAGACGTTCACAACGCTAGAAATACTGCTCAATACGGCATAGTGCGAAAAACCCGTATATGACCATAGGAAGCAGAACAGCGCAGTCTCCAATTACCCAGACTGTAAGCACGGGAATATAAGTTTGTTTGATTTCTGAAACCCTTTCTTTATGTCCTGTTTTCATTTAGGTAAGGGTCAACTACGGTATATTCACAATACTGCTGATAGCAGGAAAATTAAAATATTCTTTACTCAGCAGCTTATTAAAAACAGCTCCCATGATGTTCAAACCGATTTTTTACACAGAAGACTGACACAGCTTTGCGTTCTGAATCTCTTTTTCTCGTGCTTCTATTTAATGTGGCACTGTGCACTGGGATAGGGGAATGCTGTTCACAAGCTAATAGCATTTAAAGCACAGCACTCACAATGCTGCAAGTAAGTGTTTTACACACTAAGCAGGTCCTCTGAACTTTTCCAGCTTTGTTTTATGTGGTGGAACCTTTTATTTTTAATGATTGTTTGAAGATAACACTACAGGTAATACACTGGAATAGGGGGGTCTTCTTCATGGCTCAATAGCATTTCTGGCACAACAGCCAAAGTGCTGCAACCAAGTGTTTTACACACCAGACAGCCCCCCTAACCTTATACAACCTTGCTTTGGGTTGTGGCACCTTTCTTTATTTTTTTTATGATTTTTTGACTGTAATCAAGTGTTATGCTCACTAGGCAGGCCTCCTGACCTTTCACAGTCATGCTTTGTTGTGTGAAACTTAAATTCTCTTTTTAGGATTTTTTTAACATGGCAACTTCCACCGAGATGGGCGGGGGGTGGAGAGGGGGGGGGGGCTCTTCAATAGCTTTTTCATCAATACACACAAACGGATGTAACCAAGACACTCAGAACCAACAGAATCAACCTGAACTCATAGAAAAAAAAGAATGGCCCTGAGACACCTGCACCACCCTCCTGGACCACTCTGGTATCAACACCCCCAAACCCATCCATACCAGCTAACAAGACTCAGAATCGGTGCAGCCCTCCAACCTGGACCAACAGCAGGATGGGACAAGAACCTGTACCACACTATGTACCCCTCATCCAGACCAGCAGGACAGCCGGACCATAGACAGCACCCTCATGGAACCCCCCAGTTCACTCCAACAGAAAAGCCGAACTGACCCTCACCAACATGGCTATCCTGCAGCTCTGGTCACACCAGCAGGCCCAGTGGGCTCGGAGCTGGGGGACATACGGCACCTCCTGAGCTTGATCTGCACCAAGCCCACGAGCTGAACCAACAGTGTTTTACAACACACAGGTTTGTATTTTTTTGGCTGAAGATGAAAATGTCTAACATAGATTTGTTTTGGTTTATACTGGAGTTTTAAAAAAAGATAATTAGCTCACTGAGAGCTTGATGTAGAGGCTGTGGAAATGTCCACAAGTCGTGATCTTTAAAATGCGTTTGGTTTGAAGGCGTTCTGCGCTTCCATTGCGAAGATATGGACGAAAGAATATTCGTGCTTGGTCAACAAAATGTGATAAAAACGACAAAGTGAAGGCTGAGAAAGCATTCACAATGTATTTTATACACAAAGCAAGTGTTTTCGTAACTCTAAGAGGTTTCGTGGAATCTCTACAGGCGTGCCAAAATTGTTTTTGAACTTCAAGCTAACTTTACCCCGGCGTTGATAATGATCCACCTCTTGACAGGGGGCGGATAGTTGGAACTTGGCAGATCGGAGTATTTCAAGGTTTTTGGTCGCTGTGGACTGTTTACATAATCGAGCTCAGCCAGAATTTTTAAAGACAGCTCCAGGGTATCAAGGTATTGCACATTGCTCCTAGCACCTAAATGGACCTACCTGGAATTAAAAAAATACCGTACTGAGATAAAGAACGAGTGCCGCGGTTATCTTGGCTGTATGCTGTTAAGTAATTATTTGTAGGACACAAAATTGAATTGTAATTAAAAAAAATAAAATAAGTATTATTTGCTTTGATTTTAGTTAGCTCTCTGGATTATAAATCCATGCACGCTTTTGTAAAGTGAAGTAAAAAGAGTTTTCTTGCATAAATCGATCATAATTTAAGCGATTCCTAAAACGCCGAAAATATATCCGTATATATTTCTGATATTAGAAGGTATTTTTTGGACTCTTGATTTTACAACCAAAATGGGAAGTCAAAATAAAATTCTTATAAAGGGGGGGAAAATTGTCAATGAGGATTGTTCTCAAATCAGTGACGTCTACATTGAAGACGGTATAATTAAAGAAGTTGGTTTAAACCTGCAAGTAGCGGATGGAGTAAAAGTGATCGACGCTAAAGACAAACTTGTAATACCGGGAGGAATTGATACCCACACTCATATGGAATTTGTTTTTATGGGCACCCAAGCAGTAGACGATTTCTACATTGGAACAAAGGTATTGTTGTTGTTGTTGTTGTTGTTGTTGTTGTTGTTGTTGTTGTTGTTGTTGTTGTTGTTGTTGTTGTTGTTGTTGTTGTTGTTGTTGTGTTCTACTCACCAAACAAGAAAAAAGAGCTTCATACTTGGCAAGTTATTTTATTTTTTGTGTACCATGAATACAAATCTGAAGGCATCATTTATAGTCAGCTAAAGCAAAATACTAACCGCAAAATAATGAAGCTCAATAACTTTTTTTTACATTTGTTTTTCAGTGACAAAGCCTGCTTCCCACTGACTCCATTTTCACTGATTCAAAGGCAGAACATGTGCTGGTTTTTGACAGCGTTTTTCTGAGGCCGTTGTAATACCCTGAATCACCCCCAGATTAGATTCATCTTACTTTTTATAGTGTCCCTCAGTTTTTTATTCCTCCATTTTACTCAGAAGGGTCATATTTCTGTATGAAATGATTTGAACATTTTAAGATAGGACAATCTTGCCGTAGCTTTCAAAGAACAGAAGGGTAATACACACAGCCTTTAAAAAGAAGAAATGAATGTTTGAAGTAACCTTGCAGAGATGTACAGTAAGTAATATATTTAAAAGAAATGTGCTAACAGAACTATACATACTTCAGAGATGCTGCTGGAGGGTTTCAGAGTTCACCAGTGGTACATTTCAGTGTTTGTGAAGTCACTCAGATTAGTGACTTAACTTGGAAGTTGAACTTGGAAGTATTTATTATACTGTACTTCACTAATGATTTGTTATTTAATTTTTTCTCCTTTCCTAGAACACTGCCTGTTTTTTTTGGCACACTGCAAATTGATCAGACATGAACATATCTCAAACATGAACATGTATTTTCTGATATGTTAGCAGACATTTATTCCCAAACAACCCAGCTGTTTGGATTTCAGAAACGGAACATATCTTGAAATCTCACTGTCCAGGATTCATTTTGACCAGTTGAACGCAACTTCATGGTTTACCCAAAGACCAGCTAGAAATGACTGAATCATCAGTTATTGACCATACTGTGAATAGGTTTCAGCTGCACCTTTCAATCACTAAACATCATGTGACATTCATCACAGGCATCAGACAGAGAGATGGGCTGTACCACATTACAGATCAGGTTTCTCTGTCGATGATTGTAGACTTACAGGCTGTGTGCCACACACTGTATGGCATGTCATTCACCCAAAGCTTTAAAATCTCATTACAGCAGGTTTTTGTTCCTGTGCTTGCAGAATCCTTGATAATTGTTTCCCGATGTTAGTTGTCAAGGTTTTGCAAGAGCTATTCAAATAGCTAGTTTCAAAAAAAAATCATGTTGGCGTATATTTTAGAAAAAAACCTCAAAATAGGTTGATAAAAGGCTAATGTTTAATAATTAAAAATGTTAAAACTGTAACAGTAAGAATAGATGCAAAAATAGATACCATGGCTCAGAGAATACTCAACTGTGAAAGTGTGGTTCAGATCGCTGAACAGGCTGAACAACGCAAATAATGACCTTTTGTCTGTGGTTATCTCCTCATGATATATGTGATAAATGAAGATAACTGATTAAAAGACTTATAGATTAGTAAGAAAATTGAAATTTGGACTACTAAATGCTAATGGCTAAAATAGTATGCCATTTTGCTGTCCAGACAAAACATCAAAATGAAAAACTTGGAAAAAAGCTGGAATAAAGACCCTTACAGTTTTCTGCATTCAATAAAGAGAGAGGCCATTTGATATGTGTTAACTTGTGCTTGTCCCCATGTTAGTGTTGGTCAAAGTATTTCACTGATGACTATAAAATCGCAACTGAACGTCACCAGCCTTTAGACAGAACTGTAAATATATGCCAATATGACACTTAGAGAACAACAAAAAGTAAATTTACCTTGTTGATACTCAACGTTTTAAATTTATTGTTGTCCTAAATCAGATATTCAAAAATGAACCTTATACTTCATACATTTCCATAATTTAAATCAACATTTATTCCTTTGTCACATATAGCTTAATTCTTATTTTTGTTTAAATCTGTATTTTCCAGTGAATATAATACATCCAAATGTAGTACATTGTCTTGTCAGTTAAGAAAAAGTTGAAAATCAGTAGCCCTTAAAGGGAATTTGGTTGCACTCTCCTCTACCTAAGCGTCTGGACTTCAATCCTTTGAGAATATACAGTATATAGTAACGTAACAAGTTATAGACAAACTGTGATTAATCCTTGTCTCACTATTGGAACAATGTGAAACACCCATAAGGGTAAAAAACTTGAGCTGTACCATGTTTTGTATTTGCAGGTCAAGGAGAAAGCAACAATTATAAATATAACTTCTTAATGTACCATTCATTAGGTGCTTATTTAATTATTTTAGAGCCAACCGTACGGTATTTAAGTATTGAAAATACAACAAATGAGTACTGGAACTAATAGAGTTTATTGAATCTGTAATGCTTCTTAGTGTATAAGAAAAGCAAAGTTAATTTAATAATGTAAATTGAAAATAGTTTTTATTGATTCTTTGATAAGCTTCTACGTTGGAAAAATGTAAACAAGTCTGTGTTTAGTGCTGATTGTTCACTTACTGTGTCTGAAACAGACACTATCCATCTATTTTCTATCTGCTTTATTCTCTTCTGCTTTAAAGGGATGCCAGAGCCTATCCCAGGAAGCACTGGGACAAGGCAGACTTCACCCTGGGCAGGACGCCTGTCCATCACAGGGCAGACACACAGGCACGCACACACGCACACCAGGGCCAGTCCTTTCAGAAACCACTTAACCTATCATAATGTTTCTTTGGGCCGTGGAAGGAAACCAGAGCACCCAGAGTAAACCCACGCAAACACAGGAAGAACACATGGACTCCATGCTGATAGCACCCCAGGTCTGGTCTTGAACCCAGGGCTCCAACACTGGGAGGCAGCAATGTTAACCACTGCACAACTCTGCCACCCTTAAGAGATAAGATAAGATCACTTTATTGGCCATATACAATTTCTTGTATTAGGAATTTGTCTTTTCACATACCCCAACTTGCTCTCCATGAGACCCACAGACAGGGAGAGAAGCTTGGGGTCAGAGCGCAGGGTCAGCCATTAATACAGCGCCCCTGGAGCAGTTGGGGTGAAGGAGCCCAAGGGAGTAGGATACGAACCTGCAACCTTCCAGCCACAGGCACAGATCCTTAGCCACAGAGCCACCGCAGCACCCCGTCATCCACTTAAAAAATGAACTGTGTAATGGAAGCTGTAGCAAAAATTGTGATTGACATTGAATCATCAAACGTCAAAACTACCAGGAGTTAAACAAAATCAGAGCCTCTGACGAATCCAGGTGACTTATTTGAAGCTGTGTTTTTGCTTGCAGGCTGCTGTGGCTGGAGGCACTACAATGATCCTGGACTTTGTCATTCCTCAGAAAGGGTCCTCTCTTTTGGAGGCCTATGACAAGTGGAGGAGTTTAGCAGATCCCAAAGTTTGTTGTGACTACTCCTTTCATGTTGCCGTCACATGGTGGAGTGAACAGGTATTTCAATGGATTTAACAAAGTCTGTAGCATATCTATAAATCTATTTATTATATATCTATATACTATTACTATATCTTAGTCAACAGGTGTGACTGGTCTGGATTTTGCCAAAGCAGTTTTGCTATTCTGTTCTTGATAGTGCAACACTCTGTCCGGATTTTTTTCTGAAATTTCTTTGTATCTTGCCATGTTTAGGTTAGGGTAATGTTTTAGCACGAGCTGTTTTCTGAAAAATTTAGGTCCTCTTAATGGCTACGATTACAGAAACTCAGACTCAGACCTTCTGTTTAGCTGAATATGTAATTCCTATATGCAAGAATGTTCTGTGACATTTGAGCACTGACATACTGTACATTCTAGTGATCTATATATTAACTTCCTGTTCATTGGTCCTTGAAGCTGTGCTCTACTCTGTTTTTTTCAGAGAAGTGCTTACTTTGTTCCAGATGCCTCACGAAAGGCAAATGTTTTTATTTTCATATACCAATATATTTTATCTAAGAAAAGTCATTATTGCTGCAGACTTGTATGCTGTACTGAAGTCGTTTTAGCCTTAGAATAAATATATGATGTAATGCCTAAGGAGCAATGTACAGTACTGTATGACAGATTTTGTTAATACACATACAAACATAACTGAATGCCTAGAAAATGTGACTAGAGCTAGGCTAAGCAAAATGATTAAGTTTATTGCTATATTTATATTGGTTTTTATTGGTTTAGTATATACTGTGAATGACTAGCCTTTCCCGACTTAAACACTTGTGCTTTTATAGAAACAAATGTAGGATTTATATGTCCTAGCTTAAAAAGTATTTAAAAATAAACTCAAGCTAAAACAACTTAAGTGTAATCACATTAGAGTTGAGCATGAGTCTAATGTCTATGGTGGCTGTAAAGGTGTTTGCTTTAGGTTGAAAAAAATCAATTTCCTATATAAGAACTACACCAGTTTTATTTGTATTTCACCATAGGTTAAAAAGGAAATGGAGACACTGGTCCAAGAAAAAGGCATCAATTCGTTCAAAATGTTTATGGCCTATAAGGATGTGTTCATGCTGTCTGATCATGAACTTTATGCTGCTTTTTCACAATGTAAAGAGCTTGGAGCCATTGCTCAGGTGCATGCAGAAAATGGAGATCTGATAGCAGAGGTAAGCAGTTTCCTTTGTTCCTATCGTAACCTGGAATACAAATGATGTATTTATTAAATATTTTTTAATCAAACCATGAATACTCAAAATTAACCCTTTGATGAAGACGTTCCATGGAAACCAGTCATGATGGAAATTTACAAGTTTAACATAAGACGTGTACCATATAAACGATTTTCTCTTGCCTGGTATCTTAACTCTTCTCATCATTTTGTGAGTGGATATAATAATGAATATTTTCTGTTATGGTAATAAAGCCTCAGTATATTCCAAAAGAGGAAAAACAGACAGGAGTAAAAGTACATAATTTTTGTAACTGTGTTGCTCAGGTTTATGCTATAAATAGTCCTTCAGCAATGTCTTTATTTTGCTTACATCACATAACACACTGTATATAACCATCATCATACTTAATAAACTTGTTTAATGCAATAGTGTAAAATAGCAGCATATGCTTTTTCCTAAAACTGAATTGGCACTTAGCAAGGCAAAAGAGAAACTGTCAAAGATAGACTCTGTCTTCAGCACAAGAGGAATTCATCAGACTAGATCAACTTATGTAGTGAATTCATTGATTGCATTAGGACCGATTGACATCAGACAAGAAGTGTGCACATTATTTTGCATGCTTGTTTATATGATGGTCTTTTATGCTGAGGATGTGCCATGTGTTGCAGTGAGGTTGCTATTTCTAGACTGGTTAGTCTTGCTCAGAATAAATACATAATAATGGTCCATTTATTACGAATAAGGATTAGAAGCATTCTTCCACTGAAAATTTCAGACCTTATAAAGAGTGTAATGATCATTTTAGAATTCTGGGAAAAAGCATGGAGATGAAATGTATATGATATCCATGTGAGTCCCCTACAATTTGGACAAACTATTTATAGTTGTGTTAATTCTTGAAGCAACATGGTACTGTATGTCATTAAAAGAACTCAGTCGCCAAGTTAAAGTCTAGAACAGTAGGTGGTCTAATTCCAAACAGGTGTCAAAACATTTAATGCCACCGTTCACAGTTCTAGATTGAACTACGGGTTTTGAGGCTTTATTGTTACAGTAGTGACAGTAAGCAGTAGTGAGCAGTGACTGGAAATATTTAAAATGCATACTTGGAACTGCAACACGTTACCATTCAGATGTACTGTATAAGTTTTTTCTGCATTCAGTTATAAGTTTTTTTTTCTGTTTTATTGTGAGATGCAAAAAGTGTGATTTAGAAACCACTTGAAGGATGAACATTTTGACTTCTACCTACTGTCTGATAAATAAAAATTCCAAGTTTATAGGTTCCAGTCAGCACTATCCAATTTTTCAACTATGTATGTGTTTCTTTCAACTGTGTATTTCACGCGAGAAGCCTAGGCTAATAGAGTACAGGGAATGGGCTCCCAGACTGCACGGGGAACTCCAGAATGAGCGATCGTGGTCTTTGAGGATCAGCTGTATCAGATGCAAAAAGATGCCCAAAAACATGCACGCCCCTGACTCACTGAGAGGCGCTGCCTCGTGACTGGGCACTAAGCCCTTAGGGGTGAAGACGGAAGGAAGGTTCCAGGCTAACAAGATACTCCTACTGGGATCAGCATGGGAGCAAGGCTGACTGGGAGAGAGTCACATTTAGGGGCACTGCTTCACAACCGGGAGCTGAGTCCTTAGAGGGTGGGAGGAAGAGGATATTAGCAGAAGGAATCCCCTGACTCGAAGACACTCACTTCGAGAGGCACTGGGAGCTCAGGCCCTCAGGGGACTGAAAAAGGAGGGGAATTCAAGGAGATGAGCGAGTAAATTGATAAGAGTTGGAAGGCACTAGGGATAGTGTGGCCAGGGGTCCTCTCTGACAGTGCAGTGCAGAGGGTTGAGGTGATGCTGCCAACCTGAGGTCAGGGAAGAGAAAGAGGTGGAGAGAATTTGAGGGAACTCGAAACTCTAGACCAGGGGTTGGAGGCACTTCAGAAGGTGCGTGTCAAGCGTTAGCTCGTACCCTTTTTTTTTTTACAGATTTGCGTGCCATTAATACTTTTTTTTTTACTTCAACAATAGCGCTACTTACTGTACATTGTTATAAATAAAAATATTAAAATATAATTGTATTTAAAATTAATGTGCAGGTCGTGCCATTTACTGTGATCCCTGCCCTTGCTTTCCCTTGCTGAGCTCTCCCATCACAGGCTCCTTGCAGAGTTGGGAACTGCCTGTGTCAAGGCAGAGAGCGCAACAAGAAAATTAACTGTTTTGTCTTCTGTAGTCATCACATTATTAAGCTTATCATTCAGTATCTTGACACAGGGATTTTCCTGATGATTAATACAATGAAATTTTACCGTGGGGTGGCTAATGTGATGCACAATGTCGTTTACGAATCCCCTGTTTTCCAACCATGGTAGAGGCACCGTCGGTTGTCAGAGAAAACATTTTCTTAATACCTGTTTCATCAAAATGATTAATAATTAATAATGAATTAATACATCTCCTCCAGTAACTGCCATCTATTGGTTTTAGGCGGCACAGTTCTCGATTTACATTTGTGTTACAGTATCTCGCAAGAATTGCTAATCGCGGTACGACGTAAATTACAGTACTGTATATCCACGCACTCGGAGCACACATACTGTAGCATGGTCTTTATGTTAAGCAAAAACATATTCAGCTCACCAAAAAGAACTGAAATGAGCGAACATCTAACAAATTTCTTAACGGCTGCCATTTTGTCCAAAATATCTGCCTTTTTGTCAAAAACACACAATATGCTCTTTGAATTTTAGCCAGGTCCAGACTGCAGCATTATATAGTAATTGTAGTAAAAATGTGACGGTCAAAATATCAACATATATTTAAGTTTTTTTTTAATTTACCATCAATGAATTGTCATTTGGCACCCTGTATGAGATATGGATGGCATGAAACCCTATGTAATGTACTATATACTGTATGTAATCTGCTTAACGTGGAGTTGTCCCACATCTGCAAGTATTTCGTCTGGTTAATGGCTAAAGCAATACCAGTAATACAGTATGCTCAACACTAGGGGGAACCAAAAGTGTAATAGTAAAAATATACATCTATTTTGAACTTAAAGATTTTAGGCAGACAAACATTACAGTAACTAGGACAAGTTATACTTTATGTAAAATTCTTGCATTTGCTTTCCTTGTGGGTAATTTGCAACATTAAATTAATACATCATATCATATCCTGAAGCAAAATATTAGCTATTTGTTGCTTGTATACACTATATATTCCTTGCACATCTTAGTGAGATCAGTATGCATATTTTTTTTGCTTGTTTTCTTTTGTCTGTAAAAATGTACCTCAGTTTTATGTGGATGAAGCAGTTGCTGGCAATCAAGATCATACCAGAAATGATTGACCTCTAGACTCGCATTACTTGTTTAGCCTCATGCTGCACACACTCAGTTTTGTGATACAGTGTGCAAAAGCAGTAACAAAAAATAACAAGCCGTTGTGAATTCCAGGTTGACAGTACTCAGTTTGTGTCCCTGTGGTAAATGTGTCTTTTCTTTAAAATGTGTATTTTCAATTTTAATTGTCAGAGAGACACCTTCCCTAAGCCCTTTCAAATCTAGACTTAAAACCTTCTTAGAAGGACCTTTACTTAACTGGTTCTGTTACTGTGCCCCCTTTCTCCAACTGTATTCAGTACCCCAATCTACTGTTTCCTCTCATTGTGTATTTCCATTTTGTTTATCTTGTGAATTTGTTTTTTTTTTCCATTGCAGGTGTGAGAAGTCACCTTTAAATGCTGTATATCAAATGTATCCTTATTATTTTAGGAGGCCAAGAAGATGCTGGCACTGGGCATCAGAGGCCCAGAAGGACACGAGCTGTGCCGCCCTGAGGAGGTGGAGGCTGAAGCCACACAACGGGCCATTACCATCGCACACTCGGTCAACTGCCCCCTGTATGTGGTTCATGTGATGAGCAAGTCCGCTGCAAAAGTGGTTGCTAATGCGCGCAGACAAGGTAAACTTGAAGGAGCGACAGACGGGACAAAATTTGACAGGGACTAGTGCCTGTAGAGTTAACAACATTCTTTAAGGGGTTGATACATTTAGTTAAATCAGAACAATTACCTTATTTTTCATTAAGAACAATGTACAATATCCAGATTTATACTCACCTTCAACTTAAATCGCTGGATAGCCCACTGCCAGTAATCAGTACTAGCTTAGAAACAGCTGGAAGCAGCACAGTTTAAAGTAATTGTTGGTATTTATGTCGTTATAGTATTGATTACTTTCAATGGGCCATCTGGCTATTCAAGGTGAAGCTGAAAAACAGATAATCATTTCTTAGTCTGTCACAGACGACATAGTTCACTGCAGGCTGTAGTGGTGTGGTTGAAAGATTCTGTGCGGATAATCAAGGCTGAAATGCAGAAGAATCTTGAATTCCGTTGGGTCAATCAAACTGTAAAAACCTGAGCTATTACACTGTGCAAACAGAAAGAGTTATCAGCTCATTTGGGTAAACTCATTCCTCAGCCATGGTCCAGTGCCGGAGCAGGTGTAATGAGATGATTTATGTGGCAAATTTCAGACTGCTTAAAAAAATAACGGACACTGCATATTGTTCTAGAGGAATCTGTTACAGTTTTTTGTAAGGGGAGCCAGAGCCTATCCACGATGAAGACAAGTCCATTGCAGGGCACACACAGACACACACACTCACACCAGTTAACCTACCAGTATGCCTTTGGGCTGTGGGTGGAAACTGGAGCACCTGGAGGAAACCTACTGGATGTGAATGCAGGGAGAACATACTGTACTGTACAAACTCCATGCAGTCCAGTAACTGAACCCCAGTCTCCAGGCCTACAAGGCAGCAGTGCTAACCACTCTGCCACCATGCTTTCCCCTTATGAACCTTAGAGCCGTATTGACAGTTTAACTGCATTCATGCTGTTTTGTACATCATTCATGGAGTTTTATCTTTGTCTGGTCTGTTTGCCCACTACATCTGCTGATTTCTGCTGCCTGTTTCTTAGGCATCCTCTGCTGTCTGACAGTCTAGGGGAATGTGGGCTGTACCTTATGTTAGAGACAGAGAGAATCTGTGCACAGTGCCCTCAGAAAATGGCATAAAAATGATATACTCGTGCCTACTGGCAGAGGCTAGTGACAAGATATGAATTATTCATGCTATTAATATGTACATAATTTTCCTAGTTAGACTTTGTTTAGAACATTGTGTACAATTTTGGTCAAGATATTACAACAAAGATTTTAATACTCTGGAATCAGTCTAGAGGAGAACCACCCGATATATTCCTGGGGTGAAAGGAATACCCTATTCTGACAAGGTAAAGACGCAGAATTTTTTAAGTTTAAAAGTTTTGAACAGAGAAGACAATGTGGAGATTTGTGTATTTAAAATTAATTTAACACTGAAAGACAGTGATGAAGTCTATCGTTGGACTTGCCATGGTGTTCTGATACACTGGCTTCTTTCATGAAACAGCTGGATTAAACTAATGAGGTGAAATAAATGGGCTGAATTGTGATTGAGATGTTTAATAAATAGAACATTATCCCAGTACTATAACAGGTTAACAGGTTTCTATTTTCAACCACTTTTATTGAACATTTTCATGCAGTGCCTAATTTCTCAGGCTTTGTGATCCCTCACATAATCATATTGAGGGTGAGAATCAGTTAACTGTGTAGGCCTAACTGATGGAGAGGATTCATTAGAGGAGCTTGCATTTGCTCTATCGAAGGTCTGAAATGACTCTCTGAAAATTAAGGTTTCAAATATTAACAAAGCTAAAAAAAAAACCTTCCTATTGCAATTGGATGAAAAAGTTGTTCCTCTTTTTTTTTCCACTGCTAATGATGAAGGCTGTGCTGTGTCATGTTTGACAGGAAGGATCGTGTTTGGAGAGCCAATCGCTGCAGGCCTGGGCACAGATGGCACTCATTACTGGAACAGGGACTGGGCTCATGCAGCGGGCTTTGTTATGGGCCCTCCACTGAGACCGGATCCGACTACACCCGGATACCTCATGGACCTCCTCGCCAAGTTAGGGGCTGACATGCTCACATCTTGACTCCAGAACGGTGGCGTTTTTCACCCCACCTTTAACAGGAATTTGTGTGCTCAGTTACAGTAACTGAGTTATGAATCAACAATGCTAACAATCAGTCCTGACTTTTAGAAAAACCATATAAAGTAGCTGTTGCTTGCATTAGAAGTACTGTTTCATACATGCTAGACTAGATCATGAAATGAACAACTAGTGCTTAATACCTGGCTGAAAAGAAGCCTGCTGAAGAAGGCTCTGCATCAAAAACAGTTTTTCTGTTTACTTTTCACTTGAGATCATTAGTCTACCCTATCATTTTTTTCTTATACCAGCATGTCTATAAACATGTTTATCTTGAGCATCTGCACAACAACATCCAGATTCAAACGATGGTTCTGGTGGAGAAAAGTGGCTAGAGAGTCTGAGATTGTCCGGACAATGTTTGCTGAATATCCTGAGTATCTTCTAATATTGGCTCCTACAGTAAATAGGGCTGGTGTGACTTTCTGGAATCTGTTTCAACATAATTAATTTGTGGTATATCCTTTTACCCTATGGTACTTCTTCTTTGAACAAACTCTTTATACACATATGCGGCTACATCACAGTTATTTTGATTTTCTGCAAGTAAAATGATTCCTGCAGTTTCGTTTTTTGAATGTGTGAAGGACCTGTTGTTCCTTTCTCTTATAGCGATGACCTAAGTGTGACTGGCACAGACAACTGCACCTTCAATATCTGCCAGAAAGCACTGGGAAAAGATGACTTCACCAAAATCCCCAACGGAGTGAACGGGGTGGAAGACCGTATGTCAGTTATATGGGAAAACGGCGTGGTAAGATGTATTTGCCCCAGAAATAACACTTCAGATTTTTAAATTCTGTCAATACTATTCTAAGAGTAATAATATAATTATTAATAATACTCCCTTCTAAGAGTTTATTATTAAACAATGGTTCTTCAGAGCAGCAAGGCACATTCATTCCCTTTGTGAAGATCCTTCCTACTTTTAAGGGTTAATGGTAAAATGTTATTTCAGTAGTCTGACAGATTGAGGTGTTTTCATATGTTGCGTGACTGTATTTGAGGTAGTGTTAGTCCTTTTGTGAACTGCTTTTTTGAGAACAGAAAAAGGGAAGTGGTTAAGGGGATGTGTAAGGCACATTGTCATTGTGGGAATTTAGTCATATTCATCAGATAAATATGCAGTATTTTATCTTTCTAAGTGTCTCTCAACCTGAGCAATGCTATCAATGCAAATTATCATGAAGGGGAGAAATATTTTCAGATACTGATTGACTTAGATTTTTCCTGCTTTAGTTTCTTTTGTTTTTCATTAAAATTACTCTGACTAGAGAGCTGCAAACAGATTTCTCAAAATGTCAACAATGAAGGCTCTGTTTTACATCAACAGTTTTCTGGGAACATTACTTTCTTATTGTACTAAGTAGTTTAAATAGCCTTGAAGCTAAAATGCAACCTCAAACTTTCTCCTATATGCTGGCTTTGTGTCACAAAACACCCAATAATTACATGAGTTTATTGAGTATTTAGGTATAGCGAGATTTGGCTTAATCCATTAGGTTGAGTGCCAAGCCCATGGCCCTAAACAAGGAGGCTGTGACTCCCGTTCAGAGGCAGGGGTCAACCAAGGGGTGGCAATAAAGTTGAAGATGTAAAGGAGGAGGAAATGACGTTAGGAATTATTATGATTTAGAATAGGAAGAAAGTAACTTGGTGGTCATCATCCTTTCTAATATTGAGTTAAAGAAGTCTATTTAAAAGATATAGTAATGCAATATGCCCTTTTCTAATCTGCAAAATGTGAATGAATAAATAAATAGGAAAAGCTACTACACCTAACCCTTAAGGCAGCAAAATAGCATACTGTACAGCATCTCCTGTCAAATACATCATTCTCTTTTTCACCGTAGTAAAAGGGGTCTTAATTCATGCCGGCATGGCCTAGGACACACATCAAGGAATGTTCAAGGAAAATAAGGTTTAGGAAAAACAAGAAGAGCAGAATATTCAGACTTTGTTGTTACCCAGTTGCATTCTGTGAAAAGTAAATTAACTGGTAAACTATTTTAAAAAAGGGGAAGGTTTGTATAATGTATATATAAAAGTTTAGTTATAATCGGTTACTGAATATGCAACAAGGTAGTTTTCTTACATTTATTTAGTGATCTTCTTTTGTTAAAAGGAGTATCCATTATTTTATTAAATAATTACCATAATACAGTACTTTAAATGTTGGAGAAGCTAAACTTCCTCAAATGTGGCTTCCACACTGGTGGTTAAAAAATTATTTCATATAATTTAAGTCCTACTGTAGATTCATAGGTTTTGTAGCAGGTTTTATACTGGAAAATGCTACTCCTAGGAGTGTTGAAGTCTCCTGTGGCTTTCTGGAGTAGTGGGCTTGGCTGCTTTTTGTACAGGTATGTCCTGTGCAGGAAAGCATGTGGGGAAGAGAAGGTGAAATCCCAGGTCCCCCTGACTTGCTGTGTTCATTTGAAAACTGAATTACTTCAACTCAAGTGTGAGGAGAATGTCATAGGACATTCACAGTATTAGATATAAACCAAGATAAACTAGATCTTACAATATACTGTGAAAGATCAGAGTATTTGTTAGGGTGAATTCAAAAGAAATAAATATCTTTGAAAGCAGACTGGTCAAGAAAGCTGGACTGATGAATGGTATTGTTAGCATCACATTACATTATAAAGAATAAACATAAAAATAAAGAGTTTTTGCTCAAAGTTTGCTTAAAAACACGATGAAGTGCAATATGTAGCAAACTATAATTAACGGTATCACTTTAATTAATTTTACATTTAGAGAAGAGTTAAAGAGTTATTTTTAAATGTAAATGGTACATACTGTATTTGTTAACAGTGTAGAAACAGGAAGAGCTGACTATTTGGTGAATTCCAATCCTCCCATTTCACATACAAGACAAATTTAAATCTTTTACAAGTCAGTGCTCCCAGAAGGGGACAATGATTTATTTTAAAACCTGATTTTTGTTCATTTAAAGCAAAGACATACAACAGCCTTTTTCCCCTTAAAATTGTCATTTCAGCAAAATGGACTCTTTTCAAAGAATCAAGCTTTGAATTGTGAATTTTAAACCTTTTGGTGGTAGATTTCAGACAGAGAGCTATTTCTAGTGCTCAGACTTGATAGAGAAAGCTTTCTTTATGTACATTAAGTAGACCCTAAAAACACATTCCAGTGAGATTAACTCAAGAAATGCCTTCATAGAGTAATACTAGAATGTTGAAAATAACAAGTATGCTAAAATAAAGTGCACAAAACTGTTTGCCCTTTCTGAATTTATGGATGTTTAGAATAGTATTTTATTATATTTAGAAAAGTGATATTTTTTAATTCTTCTTTAAACGGTGTGGAATTAAATCAGAAAGTCAATTGACAGTTCAAAAGGAACCTTTGTTTTTAAAAATGTAACTTTCTGTTAAAAATAAAAAAAAGTTTTTCCTTATACAGTATCATTGTTGATTACAACTAGCTTAATATATTTTAGTTAAAGAAATAAAAAATGCTGAAGATAACACCATTAATATACAGTAAAAGCATACTGTATGGCATATTAGTTTTTTAAAATGTTCAGGGTGATTTCTGTGCCACACTGAAAGTACTTACTAGCATTACATTGAAATACCTCAACAGACTGGACGCATAGTTTAAAATTGTTTTTAGACAGCAAAACGTAAAGACCTCCAACTGTAACTGCATATCTTTGAAACACTGACCTTTTGTGCAGTAGTCCATTGCAATGTAATAAGAATTCAAAGATGTTCAAACTCCCCATATACTGTGTTTCATTTCTTTCCTCAGCATGCTGGTAAAATGGATGAAAACCGATTTGTAGCTGTCACCAGCACCAATGCAGCAAAGATTTTTAACCTTTATCCCAGAAAAGGCAGAATTGCCAAAGGCTCTGATGCTGATGTGGTGGTGTGGGACCCAGCTGCTAAAAGGTAATATGCTGTTTTTTTCAAATCATTTTGTTTTGACTAAATTTAAGAAGAAATTTTGTTGAATATTTAATTGGATTTTCTATCTTGACACTACAATACTGAGTGGGTTGGATTAGGCCTTAAGCTCTTATTTTAAATACTTATTGGTCAATCACAATATTTTATGTTTCAAATAATGTGTTCAAGTGTATGTACAACATGGCTGAACTTTGGACCTTCTTTGAGTGAACAATTTGTTCGTAATTGTAATATTTCTAGTTGTTGTGTAAATGTATGTTTACATTTTTCTCATTTTTGCCTTAATAGGCTACTTCATGCTTACTAACATACTTACATACTAACTGATAAATTCAGTTCTTGATTGTTTGATTAGGAAAGAAGACTTCCTTTCACTTGGGATGTACTCAGCTACTTAATGTTAATGCAAAACCAAGTGAAGTTGTAATGACGATTTTTGTTTGCTTAAAGATAGACAGAGTCTAAAACATTATTAGAGCAGAGAGTTTGTCCTGTTTATCTTAATATTTTAAAATTGATAGTCGGTCTAGACATTCACAGTAGAGTACACTAAAACCCAAAATACATGCAAAATCTGCGGAACACATCATTTCATTGCACAGAAGCAGACTAAATAAAGTTATTTAAATGCTAAACAGTAGAGGGTGCCCACAGCTTGAATAATGCAGCACTGCTCACTGCTGTGTCTAATGGTGATTGGGACTGGATTCAGGATATATAAAGGTTGATTTAAAGCAAAATACCATTTCTGTAAATACGTTTAAATTATGATTTTTTGGATTAATGCAAGAAGCTTTAATTCCTATCTGGTTATTCCTGTCAGTGTAATCCAAGAAAAAAGAAAAAAGATTCACATATGTGGTTAGCCTCTGCATGATTTATTAATAAATGACATTTTTAATTATTTATAATAGTATAATGACAGCTTGGAGTCATATGTTTAAGAAAACACTTTCTGTTTTTATGCTCATGTGTATGAGGCATACTTGCAGAATATGAACAAGATGTTTCTATGTTGGGCTCACTTGGTTGTATTGTTGCTTATGCTAACCTAACACAAACACAACACCAATTCAGATTTTTATTTTACAGGATTCACTTTAATTCAGATCACTAAACTTCTTGCTTTGCTTTGCATGTTTGTTCAGTTTTCTCTCATAAAGGAGAGAGTGAATCTAATGCTTTGACAGGTTTGACATTTGTCAGCAGCCCAGTGAGGCAGTGCGAGGTCGGAATGGATTTATAGGAAGTGAAAGAACATGAAATGATTAGGGAATAAGTTCATAAAAAATATTTAAAAATATTTGTTCATCCCATGTGACATCAGGTGAAAAATATGTTGCCACTCTGAGTCAACAGTGACAGGAAAATCATTAAATGTTTCTGACCTGTCAGTATAGACTTACTTTCGCATTACATTCTAGCAGAGATTTTAAAATATTTATGATCTCTTTGTTTGACATGCAGTAATGAATGTTGACAAAGTGTCCAAAGCTCATGACAGAAACAAGGCAAGTGCCGTCCAATTCTAACCATTCCTTTAAGCTATTTACCTCATGTACAGTACACACATGCAAACAGTTCAGTCAAATTTGGTAAATTCGGTAATGTTTTTTTTTGTATTGCAACCATTGCAAACAATGCAAAAAAAAGCTGTTCTGAGTGTTGGAAGTTAACAAACCCGATTTATGTAATACAGGCTGCGCTGCTTGTTTTCCTATAGAATCTGGGCTAGATCCCTGAAGGCAAAGGAGAAATTGCTGATGCATAGCAGGGAGCAAGAAACCTGGAAAACTCAAAGCAAATCAAGTTATCATTAATATGATTTGAGTTCTTGTGTAAGCATGGCTTACAGGCATTCCATTTGAATATTTTGTGAATTTTTTATGTGTGTTCTGGCAATAACGAGTGTTCTTTTTCTATTACTCAGCCTCACCTAATTCAATTTTTTGCCAGTATCTGTGGTTTGAGGTAAAAACTGGATGTCTGTCAGGCTTTTTAGTTTTAGTAGCGAATGTTATCATTGCATTCTTACAGTATACCTACAGCAAGGATTACAGCCAGTTTAATTAAAGTTATAATGAATTCTTTGAGTCAATTACCATTTATGTTGAATTTGTATGCAATTTTTCCCATCGCCGTTTATTTTTCCTTTTAAGTCTTTTAAACAATAACTGGACTGAAACAACCTTTTGTACAATTGCTATATTAGTCTTCCTGAAATAAATTTGTTTATGCCTTTTGGAAAGGTTCCTGATAGAATATAATAGTTGGAGTTATTTATTCTCATTGGTGTTTTGTTAGGAATGGTAAGAAAATAATTATTTTTACAAAAAATACCCAACCATTTAACTGTCCAACTGACTTTTTCAGGGTTTTTACCTACCTTAATCTGTCAAACATGTTTGGGATGGATTTGAAGTGTCAGTGTATTACAAATTAATCTGTAATACAGATTAAGTCTGTAAGTCTTTCAATTTATAGATTTAAGAGTTTAAAGCACAATTCTGCTGTACACAAAACAGCTTTGCCGCTGTACCACATCAGAAATGAGAAAGCCAAGCCAGATTTTGCAAAGACATGATTTATATACATATTAAATACATTAAAAAATATGTTGAAGTAGTTCAGGTGGGTAACCGAAAGGTTGTGTTTTCTTTCTTCTCTTTTCAGCATAAAATAAACCTATTACATTACAAATATACTGCATAATATTAAGAAAATGTAATTAATTAGAATATTCAGGGACCTGATCATTTAATATGGACATAAAGAAGGGACTTTTATGCCTAGAACAAGCTACACGGCCATATTGTTAAAGCTGGTATTCTGATTTATTTCAGGAGAATGTTGAATGGGATCATTGGATCAATTAGCTATGAACAACCAAACAAGCTAAAGTGGCTGAATATTATATATTTTTTACATTACTGTATATTTATCATATATAAGAGTATATAAATATACATAGCATATGATTATATATTTAATTCAAATGATTGCTGCTGCAGAAGCTTTTCAGCTGAGATGATGGACAATATATTGTATGGAGCAATTTAAAGTTTTTTTAAATTATTGTGTCATTACTGTATGTAAATGAATCCTATATTCTTAAACAAATCTGAAAAATACATTTAACCTTGGAACAGCTGATGGAACATCAGAAAGGTTTATTGATCCTCTGGGAAAATTATATTTTAGTGATTTCTGCAGTTTGCTAGAACATATCAGAATGTTTATGGACATCTGTAGGCCTTTAAAATCCATGGAAAGTTTTAAAATTTTGAATATGAGTTCATGATGCAAAACAATAGTCTGATGCAAAAAAATAATTATGGGTTACTACTGCTGCTAATTAATTCCTTCCATTTATACAGTACCATTCTTTTCATTCCAAAGAATCTCAAAGGTGTTGACTTATAGAAGACCCAGCTCATCTATCACTGAAGTGCAGCGCCCATCTGGGGGATGTTTGGTAGACTTTATGCCCTAGTAGCCCCACTACACAACAGCTCAAGTGGAGAACAGAGATAATGTTTTCCCCGTTGAATTAATAGGATTGTTAGGAAGGTAAAACTATACACAACAAGAGTGGACTTTAGCCAGACACTAGGGTTAACATCCATTCTCTTGAATTCATATTGAAATTTTATTTTCTGCTATGAAGATTTAACAGAAGATGTCTTGTCCCAAGCATGCAGTATTAAAATAAAGGAGAGTATATTGAAGGCATTAAAAACACAAAAGATGTTATTGGTTCCAATAGCTGTTGTGGTTTTAATGCCCCAGTATATTTCAACCTCAAACTTCAACACACTATAGAAATCTTTGTCTTTCTATAATTTTGCAGGCGATTGTTGTTCGTGACCAATCTTTATGATTTCTAACTTGCTTCGTGCAATTCAGGACTCCAGTACAATGCAGGGCATCCTTATGATTTCCTTTTACAGAATTATATAGTATCATAGTATGAGCAATAAAGAAACAATTTATGGGTGTGAATTCAAAAGCTTTTAAGCAGATTTGTGGGTTCTAAACATTTAAAATCTAAGAACGAACTTCTTCATCAGCAGATAAGGTTAATGTAATTTTTTTCTGTTTGTACTGTTTATATGTATGTACTGTACAGTTTGCTTTTAAATATATTTTTCCCATTCAGAATAATATTGATAGAACATCAAAACTGATATGCGTCCAAATAGATTTCCATTTTCAGGACGATTTCTGCAAAAACCCATCACCATGCAGTGGATTATAACATCTTTGAAGGCATGGTGTGCCATGGACTGCCAGTGGTGACAGTCTCCAGGGGGAAGGTGGTCTATGAGCATGGGGTCTTGCAGGCTGTCCGTGGAGAAGGGAAGTTCATTCCTTGCAGGCCCTTCCCTGACTATGTCTACAAACGTGTGAAACAGAGAGACCAGGTGAGACCCAGGGCATGCTTTTATGATCTTATCAGAATTTCTGCTCATTCGTACGGAGGTAGGGGTTGCTATCTGTGATACATGTGGATTGTTATCAGTTCACAGCAGCGCTCGTTCTCTGTGATCTGTATTCTGTCTGTGGCCGTTAATTCTGCGATTTCACCACCAGTTCATTAACTAATACGTGTTTCATTGCAGTGAATATCGTTGTGTTTCTACTGATGTTCCCTTCTAAAATTAGATCAGAGCACTTGCGTCAGAGAGCATTCTCAAGAGACATACAGTTTAAAGGAAAATGAGAAAATTCCATCAATTGTCTGAGGGGTTTTATTTCTAAAAATATATTTTTTGCTTTAAAAATAACATTGTAGATTGTTCATTCTTCCCTTTTTTTCTGTCTTTCTTTTCTACCTGTTTTCCATCTAAAGGAATAATATTGACTTGAATAGATAAGAAGATCAAATTGAGAGAAAAATAGTTCTTGAGTGACACAGGAAAATAAATTTTGACAGTTTTGTTTTTGAAAGTTCCTCATGGATCCAGTCTTAAGAATCATTTTATTATTCATGTAGATTTGCCATAATGCCTTGCACTTGCATAAAGCACATTTTGAGACCAGAAAACAAATCAGCAGTTATTTATATAGTGCTGAAAAGGAACTTGCAAAGTGCGAGAAACAATGCAAAGAAAAGAAAGACCGATTGTAACAGAAAATGCAGTTGTGCGAAATACAATGACACCAGCAGCAGTGATAACAGTGGGCTGGTTCAACACTGCCCCTCTGTGGCACTGCTCCCGCTGCATCACACTGTCGCAGTTCTAGTGGCCGGTGGCCACGCCTCCACTCTGCCTTGACTGCCATGTAGACAGCTAATGCACAGCACCTGACTGTTGTGCGAATCCTCATGGCAGCAGGTGCTCTGGGGTATTTAACACGGGATTGACGTTCTTCACACTGTACTACTGAGCCGCCTTCTGGCTTCCCAGCGGAGTCCGTCCTTTTCTTGGTTTCCCATTCTCTTGCCCTCTGTCTGGGAGTCTGCCCGCTGCTGTGCTGCCCAGGGCTTCTCCAGGCTGCTGTCCGTGATTTGAAAGTCGGGACCCTGCCATGGACCCAGATCTCAACAGACAGCTCTCTCAGCCCGGTCTGTGGCTCGTCTCCACCCCGACGGCCCGCAATGGTCTGGTCTGAAGGAAAAGACTCCCCAAGGAGCATGCGCTCGTTTCAGCTCGGGACAGACGCGAATTGTGGATGACTGTCTCGATTGGCTTTGGTGCCAGACCACTCCTCCCTGCACTGCAACCTGGAACAAAGCTCTCCCTGTTCCCTGTGCTTTCCAGTTCCTGCATCTTGGGCGATCCTGTTGGATTGCCCTTCAACCCGAGGCAGTCACTGCTCCTGGAGTCTTGGCACAGATCCCTGGACAGTCTCACTTCAGGCTTGCACTGTGCCAGCCTGTGTTGACCATGAGGTGCAGTGAGCCATCAACCCCCCCGCCCCCCGCCCCCCTCCCAGGCTGTGACACCCTAACTTTTGGGTCCATTACATAATTTAGTGTCTGTCCTGGTTCCTTAGTAGTACCTAGGATCTCCATAAGAGAAATAAACAGAGATATGAACCACAAAATTGTTTGTCCTGAAGAGAACAGATGGTTGAAGCAGGCAGGCCTGCCAGGAGAGAGTTACTGTACTGCTGTCTAGACAGACGCAGTGCCTCAACTAAAGACTAAGAAGAATCTGTAGTGACAAAAAGAACAGGTTTTGGAAATATTATCCAGACCCAAACAAAAAGATAGCACCAGGGAAGGAGATTTATCTTGATAAGAGTAAGAGAAAGTGGAATTGAGAATAACATTAAAGTTCAAACAAAACGGAGCTAGAAATATTAATTTGTATATTTTTATAGCACATTTCTGGACACTCCACTTTTAATCACAGATAATGAGTACCCCCTTCCACCACCAATGTGTAGCCCATGCCTCAATGATGCAACGTCTGCTATAGTGTTCACAGTACACTCACCACACACCAGCTATGAGTGAGGAGAAGAAAAACAGAGTGATGATGCCATTTCATAAATAGGAATTATTAGCAGGCCAAGACTGGTAAAGGCCAATGGGAAAATTGGCCAGGACACTGTGGTAACATTTCTACTCTTTTCAAGAAACACACTGGGATTTTTAATAACCACAGAGTGTCAGGACCTCGGTTTTAAGTCTCATCTAAAGGACGGCACCTTTTTACAGTACAGTGTCCCTAGGTCACTATACTAGGGCATTAGGACCACACAGGCAGCACGGTGAGCACCCCCTACTGGCCTCATTAACACTTCTTCCGGCAGCAAACTTAGTTTTTCCCAGGAAGGTCTCCCATTGAGTTACTGGGTAGGATCACACCAGCTTAGCTTCAGTTGTGAGTTGCATGTGATATACTAGCTGCTGGCAAGTTAGAAGAGGACAGATGTATAATGATGAACATGAGCCTTGGTTTGGCAAGATTTAGTGTGAGAAAGAGTGGAGAGTCATAAGAAAGCTGCTTGAGTAGTGGTGCGGCCTTCATTAATTCAGAATGCAAAGAGACAGAGGGAAGAGAGAAGAAGGAAAGCAGACAGATCCAAAGACCTTCTGGATGGAAGTGAATGGAAGCCAAGACACAAAACCTAATCTTCTCTTTTGATGAAGTACTGTACCAAGGGAGACCAGACGTAACAAGAGAACTCAAAAATCAGACATAATCTGACAAAATTGGATCGCAGGGAATAAGGAGAAGTAATGATACAGAGTTCAGCAGCAAATCTCTTTCACTGAAGAGTTAACTTGGGCACAGGTACTTTCAATCCTTCATTTCCATCAGAATTAACTCGTGGCCAAAATTAAAAAAACAGAAAATGAGGCATTTTGCCAATAACTGGAGGTCCAGTACTTTTTACTTACAGTATAACAGATTGTTAGAGTAACAGTGGCTAATACATTTAATTGACTCTCAAATCAGATTCAGGAGTAAGGCTTACAAGGATATTGCATACAAATATTCAAATATCGACTGCAGATACTATAGATACAAACCTCTTAGTTTGGCATTACTGTGTCATTTAATAATTCCGTTTGGCTAGAAATGCAAATGAGTCATCTAAACAAAAAAGTTATTTTCTGCATCTAAAATTGATTTGCTTTCCTCTATTTCATACAGAGACCTTTTTGATCCGCCTTCTTTCAGTGAGCAGAGTTACTTGTGAATCTACATTTTGTTTACAGGTCATGCTTTTCTTGTTGTTGCTAAAATAGAGTAAATTGAATTTCAGTTAACTTAACCACTTGCGTTTTTCCTTGACTTTCAGGTGGCACTGCCCAAGGCTGTAGAGAGAGACCCTTATGATGGGGAGGTTATCTCAGTGACTTCACAGAATAAGAGTCCCAGACATGCAGGGAGAGACCTACACCAAGCCACATTCACATTTGCAGGTAGTTGTGTTCTCTTCACAGAATGATTAGGCCGCGAGACCTTTTGAGTTTCTGAGAAACATTTTATTGAACTTACTACACTACAGCCTCCTGCATTTCTTGCTCAAATCCAAGAAACAAAATGAAAGATCTGAACCTTGAACCCCCAAGGTTGGTCCTTATTTCTGTATATTTACGACCTAATACATAAGTAGAAAGCCTTCATCTTTGGGGTAAAGTTGCCCCAAATCAAAGTACAAATGCAAGGAATCCCAAAATTATTTAAAAGAATAGTTTCCTCAAATATTTTTATAAACGTGCTTGTGGAAATGTAGACATGACTGACCCCATCTTAAATTATTATAGATAAGACCACTTGCTACAGTATAATGAGTTACTGTATTATTCAAGAATTGTAGAACACATACAGTCCATACAGGAATAGTCGACAGCCGTGTTTTTGTATACGTTTAAATTGTGGTATCTGAGCTGACCACTTTTTTATACTGTAAAATGAGCCAATGCAATTGTGGATGTAAGAGATATCTCCTCTGCTTCAACAGTTGAAATGAATGAGACAGTTAGCAAACAAATTATCAAATCTACCACACAGTGTGCATCTTTTAAAACGTTATTTCACGCTGCTCTTTCTTTTACCGTTTGACCAGGTGATGTGGCTGGAAGTAGCTCCAGTCCCCCACAATCATCAAAACGTGTGTTGGCACCCCCTGGTGGAAAGTCCAGCATTGCTTTCTGAACAATGAAGGTGTTGGAGGAGTGTCCCAATACCATCGACTATCAATACCTGCTTTCATGAATGTGAATGTATTAGAATAGAGGTACCTAATCCTGCTCCGGGCACCCCATGTACCTGCTGGTTTTTCTCCCACATGAGCTTCTAATTAAATAATTAGTCCTTAGCAGAAAGCTAAGCTCTTTGAGACGCTGCTATTAAAGACAATATCTTAAATTTGCTTTATTATTACCTAATAATAGTACAGGTTTAATCAAAATTGTTGTTTTCAGTTTATAAACACATATGAGACTATTGCATTTAACTACTGCATTTCTGAAATACCTCAGTATCTCCAGCCCTTGAATAGGAAAAAAAAACTTGCAAAGTTTCTAAACCAGCAAAGTTGTGATTCATTTAAGGATTGGTTTAAGTAAAGAGCTCAGCTGTAATAAAAACCAGGAGGTGGGAGTCCTCCTGATCAAGAAAAGGAAGCCTTTCTTGGAACACTGACTACTCGTGTGATTGAAACAAAAATTGATTTCTGTGCTAATCAAGAGACTTTTGATGAACCTCACAGACAATAATCATTGAAACTTTTAATGAATATTGTATGAGATATCTTATAAACGTTATCTGTAATTTTTAAAACTATTTCTTGTACAGTACTTACCTACTATACTTTAAACACACTGTATCAAATATACAGTATGATTAACCCCTTAATTGAAGTTTAATTTTAAAGTAGTTGTTGCATGTGATTGTACAGTGTAAAACCAAAGATGCCTAAATGTTTTCAATAGACTCTACAAACTAATTAACAGTACGGTTAATAAATCCCCATGACATGCACAGGCATTTATGAGACAAAACAAAATGTAACTATGAAGTAATATATTATGATTCACACACAATACTAATAAAGGCTGCATAAATCAGCTATTTAAAATATAAATTGAAACAGAGTTGTGTTACTTGTTTCTGTAAAAAAGTGACAAATAAAAGGAGGACATTAGGATATCTGGCTTTGCTAAGAGCTAATTTCAGAATAGCATCCATGTGTTATTTGAAGGAAGCCAGGGTATCAGCTTTGACTGCATACTGTAGTTCAGGACTTCTCTAGATTAAGCAATCTGCAGTAATCTTTATTAGTGTCTAGGCAGTTTTGGATTTCTGTTGCAGTTTTACTTATCAAAGACTTGAGTAGTTATTAACTGTATATTCATAGTTATGCAAAGAGTGTCTAATGGTTTATCCATAAGTGCAAGTACAGACTACACATTTTCAATAAACAGACATGGAAAATTCCCTTTTATTATTCACATAAAGTCCTTTTGCTTGGGGCTGTGTGATTAAAATGACACTTCCATAAACAACTATTTTTGTTTATGAATTCAGGGATGTTTAAAATATTAAAGAGCGCTATTGGTATTCCTTTATATAATTAGTTTGAAATGTCAATTGACTCATCCCTGAAACTCTGAAGAGACCTGGAGCAAACACCTTCAAACACAGTCGTCCACCACTTTTGAGATTGTAGTCCAGACCAAAAGCAACAGTAGAGCTTTGTTCTCCTAGTTCTGTGAAGGACAGGCAACATCTCTTGACTAGCATACACCCTTACAGGACCCCAATAACCTTTAAGAGTAGCTGTTGCATGTGAAGCAAGAGATCATAGCTCACTTGAGCCTTTTTCAATACATGGCCTAATGGAAAGTAGCCTCTTGGGGCACCCAAAGAGTTTCCAAATGACATTTTCAGCAAGAAAGCTTTCATTTATGCAATACTTTGCTGTGCGGACAATGTTGTGAGTCTACTGTCAGAATGAAAATGAAGAGCAGATTCTCGTCAGGGCTTATTTATAATTCAAGAGCATCAGGTACAGTTAGTGCTAGGAAAGGTATTACTAGACATTATTGAAGACAAAGGCTTTTAAACATGGTTCTGTCAGGACAGGGTTCAATTACATTTCCTGTTAGATTTGAACTGAACCTGAAGTGGCTAAATACAACATTCCTGTCAGTACAATACTGACTTATCTGTTAGAAAAATCAGAATTCCTACCATTAGAAAGCTGCAGACAGATTACTTTGAAGGAAAGTGTGTTATCTGCTTCTCTGACATGGCTTGTCTGAATGTCAGCATTTTTCCAAAGTAAATCTGAAACAGTAATGCCCATTGGTCAGAGCAGTCTGGGGAATTGGTAAAGGACTTTTGTTTGCAGTGATATTTACATAGGGTCTAAAATTAGAATTTATAACCCAAATAATAGTTTGTATTTTTTTACTGTTACTGTATGCTGTACATAACAGTTAAATAAGATTTTACTTCCCAAATACTAAGCTCTAAGATTTTAATGAATTTATTTTAATTAGAAAAGCTTTGTCACTTATATTTCTTATTGTTATTAGGTGAAGCCAAATCAGTACAGTTTTAATAGTTTTCTAGTATTCCAAATATTTACAGTATTTCTGTATTGAGCTCAAAAGTTTACAATTGAAAGTTCGTTTATTATTTTGATTTTTCTGTAAGTATTGTACAATGTTCCATTGGGACCTTATTCAGAATATTATTTACACCATGATACGAAAAATGCTGCTCTTCTGTAACCAGTCTAGAGAAGAGCATACAATACAGTACATTCCCGGACCCATTTAAAAATCCTACAGTGACTTCCTAAAACAACTGAATCTTTTAAGTCTTGTAGAGAGAACATTATGAGGGGATTTAATTTAGGTGTTCAAAAACCTCAAAAGCATTGACAAAGTCACCACAGCGGACTTCTTCAAAATCAACATTGAATCATAAACCACAGGATACAAGTTTAAACTAAGGGGAAGTTCATTCAAAACTGAGAACAGAAGGCGCTCTTTTACACAAAAGGTTGTGGTAGTCTGAAATAAGTTATCCAGCCATGTTTTTGAACATACCCCAGCTCCCATCAAGAAACGGCTTGATGAGTGTTTTACGGATCAATGAACTAGTAAAAATCAAATGAGCTAGTCTGGCCCAAACGAATTCTTTTTTACAATTATTCTATTGTTATGATGCAACATGCTGAATGTCATTTATAGGCCTTGTTGAACTACAGTTTACATTTATCTACTCTAATGAAGCTGTTTCTGTAGTTCAATAAAGTGTTAAAAAGACTTAAAATGATGCCATTTTTGTTTTCTCTAAAAGTGTTTTTTGAGGTTTTGGTCCACAGGCCATTTCAGATTGAATTCAAGTTAATCGGGATTTTATGGGTCAAGAGCAGAATCTGAGTCATAGCTAGCCCACTCATCTACTTACATAGTAGCTGTACTGTATATGACGCATGCGATTTATTAAACTCTACTGAACACTCACTGTCAGGTGCAGGAATTTCAAAAAAAAATCTCCACTTTAACTCATTACATTCCTATCACAGACATCCAGTCACACGAAATTAAAGTTTTAGCCAAAAGAGTTGCATTTCTGTAACTACTTTCTTCCAGTTTTGTAGTTGCATCATGAATACGGCGGGTTGTAGAGAAGTGTAAGCTCATGTAAGAATAAAGTTTTAAAAAGCTTTTCCTTCAGTATTGTGAATATATTATGTTTTCACAATATTCAGTACTTCTGGCAAGATAAAAAAAAACTTCTTGACCTGGAACTTCATTTGTATATTTGGTCTATGAAGCTTTCATCAATTCTTTCAGAATCTTTCATCTAAATAATTCTATATTCTTATTTCACTACCCTTTTTTAATAAGGGAGTGTTAAATGTAAGAATTTCAAAACCTGAAAACATAAAAACAGTAATAATACACATTTTGTAAATATTATTCCGTTTTTTTTTCCTTTTCACTTTTGCAAGCCGGAATTCACATTCAATTTCTCATGTTTAAGAGGCTAAGAGAAAATGCGAAAACAGTGTAATGTAGCCCTGACCCGCAAGGGTTTTGAGAGAACAAAATTTAGGCCCCACCCCCTTCACAAGTCCCATAGCTACCTGGCCCACCACACCTCAAACATGTTGTTCTCTGATTTGATTAAATGTATACAGTAAGTACTTTCAGACCTGTATATCAGTGGGGCTTATGCACATATATTCAGTGCCTTCCAGTGGGGCCCCTCAATGCACTGGGCTCTGGTGTAATTGGAGGCTTGGTGGAACCACTTTGTACCCACCCTGGTCCATAGCAGGACAAACTCAAACTCATACACTCAGACACACACACACACACCAGGAGCCATTTTCTGAGAAGCCATTTAACCTACCAATATGTTTTTGAGATGTGGGAGGAAACACAGAGGAAACCCCTGCGAACACAGGAAGAACATACAAACTATGTAGGTAGCTCTCCCGGCCTAACATTGGACCTAGGGCAGCAATGCTAATCACTGTACCATACCACTTATTATTATTATTATTATTATTAGAAAGTTTGTAAAATTTTATAAATTTCACATTTACTCAAGAGTGAATTAACTAGAAAACATGGTGAGCTATATACTGCTATCAGAACATTACTTTCTGTAATTGTGAAAAAAAACCAAGAAGTTGAGCAACATACTTTAGACAAATTAAGGAAAGTCTAAATGCTAAGCTACAGTATGAGGAAAGATCTTTAAACACATTAACAACATGTGCACACTTCTTATAAACCGGAGGATTCCAAATTTACAGTTACAAATAGGTATTGTACAAAACATTCATCTCTGCCTCTTAATTCTAGACATCGACAAATATACAATCAAAAGGCCTCTCTGTTAAACAGTAAAATGATTTTTTTCAGTTATATACCTAATATAAATTATTAGAGCATGAAGAAACTCAATATGGTGGTTAAAGATAAGCTTAATAAAACTCCCAGTTCTGCTAAAAAATAAAACTATTTGTATATCACTTAAAAAAAGAAAAAAGACAATCTTTTTGTCATAGCGGAGTCAGAGGGGCATACTTTTTTAAAACGTGAGAATGAATTAACAACAGTAATGAGCAATCTTTTACACAAGCAAACAAAACCCAAACCTTAAATCTGTTCATTGCTGCAGGTCATTGCTTTAGTGATCCAGCTGTTCCAACACAATATTAAATACTTATGCTTTTAAAGTATGACGTCATTTTTCATATAAACATAAAACATGAAACCACCCAGACACTGTGTTTATTGTGTTTTGTTCAGAATTGTGAACATTATGTTTATGAATAGACATCGTAACACGTTTTTTTTTTCTTTTGTCCCATTTATTCAGCCACCATCTGGAATTTCGCATTTCTGATTAAAGTTGATCAGAAAAGGATCTTTCTTTTTAAAAAAATGTTTTGCTTTGTGATGCCTTTTCACTTCCTTTGAACTTAATATTAAGGCCAAAGCTAAGTTTCTGGTTGTGTACTTCTGCATTTGAGGAGCTATAGCCCAAAATCATTAGAACATTTCTTCCTGTTTGCTGGATCGTATTCCCTTTGTTTTATTTTCCTTGTGTTGCTCTTAACTTTGCCCTTTGGTGCTTAACGTAATAGCAAATTAACAAGTAAAGGTTTATATCACGCAGAAAACGGAAGAAAAGAAACAACGTTTCAGCTGTGGAGCCTTCTTCCTTTGCAGGCTACGCATGAAGACCTACTTATAATAAACGGCTCCCTGAGCTCTGGTGTAGTGCTGACTGCTTTTAAAACTGCTGCTGTCATAGCTTTGGATAATCTCCGTACTTTTCAACCCACATCTTACGTCCCATCTCATGCAACCTTCTGGTGCAGAGCAACAAAAACACAAACCAGGGCACACAACAGGAGACTAAAGGCTGAAAACTGACAGAGGCACTTCGTGACGCATTCCACGTGCACCCGTATTCCCACACGCTCGCGGTCCACTCGTTCTCATATACAGTATCCACGCTTTCACAAACGCTCAGGCCATAAGTGATGAGCCTATCACTTTCCCCTGCCTTCACTATTTTAGTTCCGCTCTTGCCCCCCTGTTCCTCCCTCTTTATCGTGGTTAGTCTCCACGAGCTCCCGTAATGCGCGTACTTTTCCAATTTATATTTTGGGGGCTTATTACTGACCTTCGCTTGTTTTCTTTGTTTCTCGATCTCGCTTTACGTCTTCGGATTTGTTCGCCTCGTTCTACCGCCCTCTACCGGTTTTTGGCTTTATCGCTCGTTTATAGGATTTAGATTTTTTTTTGCCTAGTATATTTGGACTCTGCTGCTTCCCTTTTAGCCCTGCCTCAACCATTCTTGATGCACTTTTTTTTGCAAAATTGGCCTCAGACAGAGTCCTGTGCCATGAGGCCAATATCCTGGATTCTTTCAGGAAGTAGCTAGAGGAGATCGTCTGATCAATCGATTACTACCACCCAGAAACATTAAATGGTCTCCTATCATGTGTAACCCCTCTTGCATTTTATTGATTTTAAAACAAATAGTTTTATAAGAAAATGAAATGGTGTCCTACTGAATGCCACTTAAGGTGTTCAGTTTGGGATGATACCAAAGTGGGAGGAATTTGTAGTGAATGATGATGCAGCAAAAAAATAATAATTGGAAAAACTTAAATATTCAGGATTGGGCAGACACCTGAAAAATTACATTTAACGAAGACAGGCACAAGGAATACAGGAGATTTCTGTAGAAAAGACACACTTCACATTGAAGATGGGAGACATTGTGATGGTTATACCTTTAATAAAATATTTAGGGCTTTGACATATTCCTCTGCTCTATACAATGTGAAGAAGCAATAAAAAGGCAAAACTCTGACAGGCGCCTGGCCTGCCCCATGAGGCTGTCAAAGGCCTCTAGCGTTTGTAAAAAGACAGACCGTGTGGTAATTAGTCCAATATTGCCATTGTGAGTTTTTTAATACGTTCTGATCCCCGGAGTCACCTTATGTAAGAGTGGGAGTCTGTCACAGACATTTAAGGTAAATTTTGTATTTAATTCAAGTGGATCTATACTAAAATTGTCCAATGCATTACTACAACTTAATTTAGGAATCCACTTAATCAACCCACTTAACGTCTTTGGGATCAAGAGTGAATTTCTGATCAGTATTTATGTGCAGTAAAAACTGAGAACAGAAGTCTTGAACAAACTACCCGGTCGTGGTGTCACTGTACCATGGCTGGAAACAAGTGCATGAGATCCTTATATCAGCAGTCAGCGGCTAGATTTAGACAACTATATGGGCCTAACAACCTCCTCTTTTGTGTGACCTTCTTTATGTGATAAGGAGTGTTTGTAATCGTTGACTGCTTTATTAATCCTAAAGAAATGTTTCAGCTGTTCTGTATATAGTAGTTCTATCCCAACTAGGGAAGAAGGTTAAGTGTCAAGTTATACTAAAAGAGTTCCTACCTAGAAGTGTCTCTTCTGCAAGCAATCAGATTTATTTATTTTTTCACACATTTTGACCTGACTTTTTATAAAACAATGAACACGACTGTGTATTTCTGCATTCGGTTTTAAATAAGCTGTCATGGAGCAGTAGGACATGTGCACTTAAAGTATACTAAAGGATCAAATATGACACAGCTTAACCCTTTTTCTAGGAATCCTTTATTTTGGGGCTTTTGCATGAAAGAGTAGAGGATGACAAGTACTGTACTTTCTAAAGGAAAAGTAAAATGTCAGTGAAATGAAATAATGGAAAATGTTTGCTAATGAAGTTTACCACTATGTTGTGAGTTGTAGAATAATCTGAGGAAGGACTTAAAATTATACAAAATGGCGAAAAATAAATTATCCAAGGTAACCCACAAAATTCCATAAAGCGTTCTGTAAAGAAAGTATATTAAACTAGAAAATATATTTTTTTGGGGGGGGGGCGCTGAGGATTTTGTACGAAGGCATGTCATGGACTAATGTTTCTTTTTATGTTCATCCAAAAACGTTACAGAACCATTGTTCATGTGCCCTCATGATTGATGACCTGGACTAATCCACCCCATTCGCCCTTTCTATAGTCACAGTTATACGTCTTAGTATTATTACTGTTTAGCTTTAGCCTGAGAGACTTCCATATATGCAAAGTTTATACTATATGTACAGGGGAAGTAAACGCAAAAGTACAATAAAATGATCAGATAGCAAAAAAAGCTGTCACAAAGCCAAAAAAGCAATACTCTCTTTTATAAATGCTGAGCAATGTAAAATGAACTAATATAAACTCAAAGATTATACACATAGTGTAGATTTGTGTTTGCACTGAATAAGCAAAATTAGCAAGCTAATGCCAGTTTTGATAAATGAAGTTCAGTACAATATATGTTATTGGCAGATGAGGGGTTACAGATGGTGTCTAATGGGTAGTAGGTAACAGCAGATAATTGGGTAGTAAAATAGGTCTGTTTTGGGTAGTTTGTCACTAATAAGGAGCTAAGGTGGAGAATGGATGTTTTCTAAAGGTGGAAGACTGTGACATTTGTTTCGTTTAGTTGATACTAAAAAGTATGCAAAACCTTGGAAGTAAAAAACTTTCGCCAGAAAGTAACAAGCTTAAATGTCTATGGAATTGTGGGTTGTCAGTTTTTATGTCAGCTAGTGTTTTGTACTTGATGCTCATGTTAATACTAATAGACAAATGTTAAATGTATGCAGACTTTATTTTGATTAATTAAAAGCCTTGAAGTCACACATTACTTAACTGCTAGAGTTTGGTCCTGATATGAGCAATATAGAGACAAAATCGGTTAAATGTTAGTGCTCAGTGTACCTCACCCACTGAGGGAATAGCAGCCTAACCATGAAGATGAGACTGACCGAATTCTCCACCTTTTCACGAGGAATGAGCTAGGGAGCTGCTGCAAGGGTAAAGATGGGGTGGTTGGTGTGGTGCTAAAGAAATGCACAAAGTGAGTTGCAGCAGGAGACAATATGTATACATTTCTTTTTGCATAAACGAGAGGTTCAGAGACCTTTTGGTGGTGAAGGTGTCATATGATGAGAAATAATAAAATATCAAATAACCTCACGAAGATTTTTTTTGTTGAACTGCAGTGGCACTTACACACCAGGACAAAAGGCAAGTTCACAATTTTGCAGGCTCTTTAATCTTAAACAGCTTTGCTACATTGAACAACAAATCAGAAACTGATTTAAAATAAAATTCTGCATACTTTAAAAAAATATATAATGTATAGTTGTCATTGTTATTAAAAAAAAAAACTTCATAAAAGCCTGTTTGGTAAAAAAGTATAAACCTTCAAAGATGACTGGCCTATGGAGTATTTTGCTTTACCTTTCGAAATGTATGCTTCACTGCAAGCAGTGTTACATCTTCAAGATTGTGTATTGAAACGCAAAGTGTGACTCACGCATGTACAAAATGACAATGTGGAAGGAAATTGTTTTTTTGTACACTTATTTTGTCACCAGATAAGTCAATGCTTTGATTTACAAGATCAAAAGATGGAGAGTAAGAGTACACCTCACAATTCTGCTCGACTATGTTAAACCTACTTATTTGTTCTGATAATAAATACCTGTATATGATAAAAATAATTGTAAAATGCATATGTACATACAGTACATTTCACTTGTTTTAGAGTACATAAATATGTGTGCCCATATTTGAAAATGTCATTCATAAGGAAGAGAGAATAGAGAATTGTACTGTAATATTTCTTACAATGGAAGGAATATTATGGTTGATTTTCCTTCAGTGCTCTCCGGTCATTTTATTTTTTTTTAACATTCAGGTTAAGATAATGGTGTCATCCTCCTGGTTCTGGTAGAATATTGGGAACCAGAAACTTTTCTGTGAACACAAAAGAAAACAAAATGCACAAACTGTTAGAATTATTTTCACTTGACTTTGTTTGAAAATTCTTAATTCAGTTGTTTTTTCTTATAAAGTCTATTTGTTAAGCACTAGGAGTTCATTTAAAACTTAAAAAAATCTAAAGTAAACAAAAAACGTGTAAGCTCTTTTTGATATGTAAAACTCATTCACTTGTATTGTTTGAAATATACAATATTTAATGACAAAAAAACACAAGATTTGGAAACTACAGGATTAATTGTAAATGTAAAGTTTCGTCCAGCTGACTAAGATACGTGTTCCAAATACCCACTAAACTACAGTATATTTCTTTTTGTAGTATGATGACCAAAAAGTGGACAATACTCTTCAAAGGAGTTCCTAGTAGAGTGTTTTAAAGCTTGGGCAAAACTTTGAATTCAATTCCCTTGCATTTTGCTATATAACCAGCATCTTTCTTGCTTTCCCACATTGTTTTGCTGATGACATAAAGGAATCTACAGTATATAAACTCCAGATCCCTTTCACATGTACTGTAGCTACCCACAGCTTGGAGTCTCCCGTGTGATATGTAAAGAGCATCTTCCTACTATCTGTGTGGATGACTTTGCACCTAAACTTATTTTTGAATAAACAATGGTTTATTCATTCATTTACCAGCAATGGGCCTCAAACCAGAACCCTGTATCAAAACTGCTCACAATTTCCCAGTTAGAAGCCGTGCCCTTTTGCGCTGTTTCGTGGTCTTTAACCAGTTCTAACCCCTAACCACAGCACCATGATTTGTGGAACTAACGAATATGTTTTCAGGGGGGAATAATGGCATCCAAGAAAGATGCTTTGTGAATGAGTATTTGAGTATTTAAGTCAAATATCTTTTGACATAACCCACGGTAGTAAAGGGGTTACCCTCCTGGCCATAGGACGAGGAGGCTCAGACCCAAGAAAAATAATAATGTGGACCTAAAAAACGACCTGTTCTGAAGCAGCGACAGCAGGAACGTACAGGCACAGTATGGAAATGTGGATATTATGTTAAGAAGAGAAGGCAGACATTAAAAGATATGGGACGCCCATTGATGTCAGTCAGGATGTCAGTCAGAGCTGGGGCCAAGAAGGAGGTGAATACTGTGTGAGGTGATCGTGAGACAAATAGCACACTTTTCTCTTTCTATATTATCTTTATATCTTGATATTATTTTGTGTTTTGTGTTTCGTACCATGTTATTTTTTTTAAAGGTCCTGTAAGTAAAATCTATCAGTACTCTGCCATCTTTGGCTTTCTTCCTTACTATAATAACAGAACTGCATCTTCACCCATCAATGAGCATGAGGTCCAGTACTACTTTTTAAAAATATTTCTTAGTTTTGATAAATGAGGATTATACAAGTGTCCCTTTATTTAGCATTTTATTTAAATATATTAATATATTTTTAAGGTGTCCTTCATTTTCTGCTTCAAGCCATTTTTAGCCTTTATCTCAGTGTTTGTATTATATAATGAGACCATATACTGTATATATATATGTACATAGACACACCATCTGATGAATCGGAACAAATTAAGTTAGAAAGCAGAAATGTCGACATACCTTTTTAGCAAGTGCAACCACTGTGCTTTTCACTGCACATAATCTCTTCTTTGATCTCTTTCTGAGAATTTTGTCATGTAAATACTGAACTCTCTCATCAGCATTGTCAGGATAGAACAGTGAAGACACCAGGATTTTCAGCTGAATTAGCTTGGCTGACAACAAGCCAAGCAAGATCAGAATGGTGATGATTACCAGGAGAGGAGCCACTGAATTGTAGAGCAAGAGCTCGGGTTTAGGAATGCAGTCTTTTTCAATCAAAGGAACGGAGTAGGAAAAATCATTCTCTTCACTGGTAGAGCCAGTCTTGATAACAATAATTGTGCTTCCTTTCTGTGTAAAATAAGTTAAAGTACACAGAATAAGTATTATACTTCACATGATGTTGTTAAACACATTAAAAATTACAAGGTATTAGAAATAATAATTTAATTTAACTTATTAACTTATTAAATTAATTACAAGGTATTCGAAATAATAAGTTAATTTAACTTAACTCTAAGAAATACAATGGATTGTTTTGTATTTACTATGAAAATGCATTTATATTTCACAAACATGTAGTGTTATGCCCATGGTTAAATTTAAATTTTTATTTTCAATTAAAGCTAAGCCAAATGTAAGCGGTTCAGTCTACTTTCTAACTAGCTCATCCTGAGTCTCAGATATAATTAATATAAAACAATTCTAAAAAAAAAACCTGCATTTTTAATCAGATTTATTCACTACCCAGTCAAAATAAAATAACACCCCAAGATCACTCATTAAAAATTTTCCTTCTGTTAGACACAGAATCAACAGATTTTTGACCCAGGATATACTGTACAGTACAGTATGTGTTTGAAACCTTTCTTCACTCACAACTTTCCCTTAGGTGGTATCATAAAAAGTAAACAATGACCACATCTTTCATACTGTTTTGGACAGCATGTAGTTCTTATGATAGGAACAAAAAGCACAAATGCATGTCCTTCTTAAATAAACTTGTGAGGGGAATCACATTACCTAAATGTATTTACAAGGTTCTTACATCAAACCCAGGACAAGTCTGTAAATTTTTATCTAGGTTAATTAAGCAAACCTTTGTTTATTCATACAGTATATTAAGCCATGATTATACAGTATGTTAATCTGGTATTTGAATGTGCCTTCCAGTACAAGTTAAAGCCTAAGGTATGACATTGGACAGGGCAAAAACTCAACGATGAACATACTTACGTCTACAGACATTTTTAAAGGAACCTCAAATGGCTCAATATTCTGGAGGTGTTTGCCAATTGTCAAAATGAGCCAGTACAGCAGTGAATCAACTCCTATGAATAAAGCCCAGGCTGACACATGGGTTATAACTGGAATGATGAAAGTCCCCATGGCTTTCCATTCTTTGACTGTTAAGTGGGATGAAGGGATGGCAATGTACTGTTTGCTTTCCTTCTTTGTGAGGGGAAGAACATTAGGCTTTCCGGTGGCTTTTTGCTTCTCATCAAAGAGAATAAACTTCCTTGTGATAAAAATGTTCTTGAATTTCTTACTATGGAAGTATTTTCTCAGGAACAGCACAGTACAAAACACAACAAAAATGATCCCAACGGCAGGCAGAACTTTCTGGCTTACAGAGGACACAGTGTTCAGGATTCCACTCATTGTTTCTGCAGTGGCGTTCAGTTGCTGCTTTGCCTCTCTAAGCTTTTCTTCCAGTGCCTCATCAGATGAAATTCTCTGACTTACTTCTAATTTAGAGTCAAACTTCACAACTACAAAATCGCCTAACCCTTTAACTTGCTCACCAACCCATTTCAGGAGTTTTATGTAATTGTCAATGGGAGTCACTTTAATGGAGATCCTCCTTTTTTCCAAGTTGCAGACCATGCTGCTGGCCAGGCCCTGTAGGTTTTGAAAAGTGTTTTTAACATTCCAATAAATGACCAGGCCAGTCCCAGCTGTAATGAGGAAGTTCCTCCCTTCCTGCATGCCGCAAGAAAGCAAAAATAACACACTGAAACAACGAACCCGCTTGGAGCAAAACAAAGCTCCTGTCACAATCACAGCAGCCATACCAGAAACAGTCCCAGAGACAACGCTTCCATATGCTAAGGAATAATATAAGCCTACAAAGAGCAGAGACCCAAAGGTAAAGCCTAATACTAAACAAGTAATGAAAAGAAGGCGGTTGTTTCTCCAGTCTGGCCTGTTACTGGATGTGTACAAGTCCACTATGATGGCCCAGGTTTGAGATATTGCAGTTTTGAGTGGCATTTTCTTCTCCGAGGATTAAACTCTAAAAGAAGACAGAAAATAAAGAATTGACATGACACAGTATAATACAATGGAAACTTCATGCAAGCTATGTGAGAATCAGCAGTTTCCAAAAAGACCATCGTACAGTAGATCATGAAAAGCCCTAAGGGTATCAATAACCTCCTGGAAATTGGAAAACATTTTCGACATCCAACATCCCTCAGACATCTCCCAGGGCTAGAAAAACTACACACAGACAAATGCACACATCCATTGAATCAAAAGACTGGTTATATGACCCAGTGTTTGCAGAAACACTAGAGGGTCACATCGCCATTACAGGTTCATACCAAACTATCCCTGTTCAATCGTAAGAGAAATAAAAAAAGACACAAGTGTTTGACAGCATTTTTCTTAAAGCTACATTTTAAAAGCATTGGTTTGAGTCATTATTCAAATATTTGACTTGGCTCCTTGCTTACAAGAACCTCACAGGCCACGGAAAGTTTAAGATTGCACTGGAAAGGGCCTCCTGGGTGGGTCAGCAGGTTGAGCCTTATGATCATGGGTTTGAGCCTGGCTCATGTCACTAGCTGCACGTACAGTAACTGATTTTAGGGTGGGAGGATGGAGTTGGGAGCAATACAGCAATCAGTCCTGAATGTCTGGTAAGGGGCTCTGCTGCCTGTGACATGTTAAATGAATCGTGAAAGATGTATAAATACAGGTGGTACAGCTGGAGTTTACATTACAGGGATTACAGGGGTATGCCTTTAAAGAAAAAGTGTCAGAGCTTCATAACTGCTAGCAGGATTATTACAAAAGAGTGTATGGCACTATTCAGTAATTGAACATACATATTGTGGTAGTTCACCAGCTCACTATAGAGACAGAGATTTATGCCTAGGCTGTACATTTCCTTCTGCTTCGATACTACGGGATTTAATTATGATATGTTTATAATTGTGACGTGAAAACAAAAACTCTGCCCATAGATAAGGTTGCAAAATATCCCTAAAAGTTACCTATTGTACGCTCTAGCAAATAATTCTCTACAAATGCATCCCAGCCTTTGTGTATTTGCTTCAAGGTCTAGTGGTAAAATTATGTAAGAGCATTAAAAAAGGAAACACTAGAATGTGTGGCTTCACATAAAGTCAGAGTGATTCATCCTTCCTGCTGTAGGCAGATGCTGAAGAGACAGCGGACGTTTGCACAATATAACTTCTATTACCTGATACGCAAAAGTCTCTGGAGGGAGGGCTGACTTATTGGACTAAAGCAGAATACAGTACATGGAATATGTTCAGATGTATTCTGTTCCACAGCGACAATGTTTAGTAAATTATAGACACTGGCTCATCGAGCTATAGCACTGAAAGTAAGCATAACTCAGAGCCTGTGATACCAACCCATCACAGGGCCTACCCCCAGTAATGCTTGCCCCCATTCATACAGCTGGGTGGACTGGAACAACCTGGGTAAAGTCTCTCATTCAAGGTTCAACAGCACTCCAGCAGGGAGCTGACCCTATAACCTGTAGTTCTGAGTTCTGAAACTTATTGACTGCTCTCTGCCATCTCTTCCCATTCTCCAAAACCGTTTAATTGAAAAGAAAAAAGAAGTTGCGGAGTTCAGTGAGACAGCTGTTTTTTCAGAGAGTTGCCACACATCATGTGGTGATTCATTGGACTGGTCAGATGAGTTACTTGAATTGTAAATCTGCAGACGACCAGAGCATGAAGAGATAGGTGACTTATACTTATGTCATCAATGCTTTTATGGTAATATTTATCGTTTGTTGCATTTACTGTATTTGGTATTGTGCTCATGTTCTCCGTTCTTCAGATATGTATGAAGTACAGCAGGAGAAAAATGGCATATGTTATTAATTTTCAAAGCGGTGTGCAAGCTGTTTAGATGAGTATAAATAGGCACAAGAGGTAATCGTTATGTTTAGCATACATTTTTCTGAAAATTGATGTTTCATGGCTTACTGAGCACACTCTATTTGTAATACGAAGATGCATATGCCTTACAATGGTGCAACACTGACATACTGTAAATCATCAAAGATTAAGAACTTATCGCAGATGCTGTACTTAAATATGCCAATCATGCTCACTTTGTCAGGAGTGTTTTTAATATGAATTATCATGGTTTTAATAAATTATGTTGCTTCACCAAGTCAGCCTCTTGTACTCATATTAGAACATGCTCATATTGATTGAGATGAAAATGCTCTTGAAGTATTTTAAATTGTTCAACTATACAAACAACTTAGTAAGTAACTCAATGTAATATTTTGAGTATTAAAATTCAGAAAGATAGTTATAAGGGTACTTAAACAAGTAAAAAAATCCTGAAAACATTTTAGAAAACTTATTCAAGCATATTATTTGTTGCCACTTCAAACGCAACATCTAAATACTACTTACAAGTATCTGGAAACATGTGCAATAAATAGTATATTAAACAGTAAACACAAAGACATTGCTGAAAACCTAGGTAAAAAAACAATCAATTAGTGTTTATTTAAATCATCTTACCTGCTATTTCAGTAATTTTCTTAGTACAAATGAACAAAGTTCTAGAGCTCTCACCGTTATCAAGCACTTAAAAACCACAAAAGCTCCTCCTCTTCAGGCAGCATGTTGAAAAGTTTCAAAATGTTCATATTAGGCTACAGCTGATCACAGAGCAGTCATGTGAAAAATGAAGTAAATAACCATAAGGGAATTATTTTGCTATCGGGTGCATTCAATATTTTCTCAATATCTTAAAGTATGTCATTTGTCATTGACTTTTTTGTCCTGTACAGTACATTCCGCTCCCAGAATGAAAAACAAAACTGTGTTAAACTGGGAGAACACATGCTTTGTATACTGCTTCGATTTTTAAAATACTACAGGATATCTCAAATATTTGAAAAACAGCAACTGAGGAGGAATACTTTTAATTAACTAGATTATTTACAATTACTGCATGAAATTGCAGAACAACATTGCAGTACATTTCTACTTAACATTTTGGCATACAGCGGTCAAAATACAATTTGTAAATTCATGATATGCAAAAAAGATTTAAGTCTTTACTTCATGAAGATTTTTGCCTCTTGTCCCTTTCATCCAAAATGAAACTTCCAGAGACAAATTACCACTTTATACATGCATATATTATTTTTCATCGTGCATTTTATGTTTCACACAGAATTATGAAACTACAATCTTCTAAAGCTTTAAAATATTTGCACTACACTCCTAAAATGGTAATTATTTACATCACATTACATCAGAGAATTATCATTTTATAGGTTAATATACTGTATTGAAACCGTTTCTTATTGCAGAGAACACACAACTAAAATTGTACCAAACATAAAAGTCATCTGTAGCATTCATGTGTTTGGCAAATAGTAGACTGGAGCAAAGGACAGATAAATTGCTACAAAATTTGAATGCAGGACCTGAATTCAGCAATTTTGAAATTGTGCCAAAAAAATGTCAGAAGGACACAAATTGGTTCTTCATTGGTTCAGCTACATCAAAACAATTGTTTGATCAGAAAAGAGCAATATGCTGAGGCCTTTTTATTCAAATTAAAAGTGAAAAGATTGATGTAATTCTTTATGACCTTTATTAATAGTAAAATGCTTCCTATTGCCCTGTTAGGCCATATGTGTGTCACTTGATGATGTCGTCTGTGCATCTACAGTATAGTACAGTATGTCAGGGATGATCTACAGTATGGCTTACTCTATGTCAGAGTGATGTTGTCTGTGTTGTTTCAGAAGATTCATACAAACCTGTAGTCACTGAAGGTGTGACACCCAGCTTTATGCACAAGGTTTTCGCCCCTTCAGGTGAAGTGAACGAGAGGGCAATGGCGATCGAATGGGGATGGAGCAGGGAGGCAGAGCAAGGATTACAAAGGGGAAATAGTCGATTTTGTGACCAGTGATTTGAGTGGCTTGTTTATGTGTCGCACTCCTGTTATAAAATATAACATAGCTGTCACGGTCGTCATCCTCCTCTAGGGGGCACTTCTACCTCTCTCGTACCGTTCTTAGATTTACGAGTGTCAGCTGTGTTTCATTCTCTTTCCTTTATTTAAGCCCGGTGTCTCCATAGTTCCGGGCTCAGCTTTGGAAGATGGACGCCCAGAAGCCTGCCTACCACCAGGCACAGGAGTGGCCCGAGGGCACAGGCTTCATCACGGAGTTCTGACCTCTGATTCCAGGACTCGGCGCATTTTGCCCCGTTATGCTTTTAACCTTTTGTGTTCCTGGTCCCTGTTTATAACCATCTCCGATGGATCTCCTGGTTTCTGGATTTTGGACTGCGCCTTACTAACCCTTTGGACTTCCTCTGGACTTGTTTGCCTGTCCTCCCCACATACACCTCAGTCAATGCCCCCTGTCTGCCATCCTCACCTTACCTCACTGTGCCTTCCCTGACGTCATTCTCCAGACACTTCCAGATTATACCGTCACGCATGGGGTCTTTTACGAGTCGGATTCGGCTCCCGTGACAATAGCCAAACAATTTTCTTACTCTCTCGGTTATGTGTCAAGTCCTATCTTTAGTTTATTTTCTGTAAAATCACATTTGTCTGGCTGTTTTACATGGTCATTGCCTTGAAATAGCTTGTTGGAAGAAGCTTTGCTCCTCTGAATCATGCTCCCATCACATGAATAATAAACCACTAGTAAAGTAATACCTTTAAATATAGACATACAGAGTCATATTCTGAATTATACAACATTTACCATTGCTGTTTACACCTACGGTAGGTTTCCAAAAATATAAAATCAAAATAAGGTTACAAAGTGTTTCATAAATACTAATGATGCTAATTTAGGATATTCACTCTATGGATTTCTTTTATGTATATATAAACATCAGGAGAACTTTTTCTCCTTCATAAACGTGTGTGCTAGAACTGATTCTTGATCATGACTGTACTTTTTAAGTATATTATACTTATATTAAAGTACATGCACAATATGTGTACATCACTCAACCTATACAGCTTCTGGAAGAAATTAATGTTTCTCAGATTATACCACATTTATAACAAATTAATAATTATGTAAGAAGAGTTAGTTATTACAGTGGGTTTGCCTTTTAAGACAAAACTCAGCTGGTACTTGCTGGGACTCATTGGCGAGATAACTGCCAGTTTTTTTAACCCACATTCAGTTTGGGGAATTTGTATACAAAATACAGCCAGTCCATGTTAGTTTCCCAGCAGTTTTGAGGAACTTGCTGTATATAAAGATGTGTGATCTACAGCCTATTTATATTATTCTTTGCTTATCAGTGCTATTCTAATGCCTTGAGTACAAATGATAAACAAGAAGTTTCAATTTTCAGACACTGACGTCTTAATAAGGTCATTAACAAAAATACATTTTGCAGTAATTTAAAATGAACAAAATGATGTAGTGTGGAAACAAGGTTGTTCTTATGACAGTCTGTATATAAAAGGTATATCCTGTATTTTAATCACTTACCTGGATACTGGGTGCTTGACATTAATGCTTTACATCTGAAGCTCGGTATCTGCTTTGAAGTCCAAGCTGAAGTCTACTGTACATCTGCTTGTAGATTGGCTTGGGTTTTGATAACAGAATGGAGCAAAGTTCTGCTTACTTATCTTGGTCAAAGCCTTTTTGGAATGTGGTAAAGTCATGTTTTGTGCACAGGTGCTGACTGATTTTTAATCTGATTAATCACTGATTAATCCACCCTCTGCTGCTCAATGGTATTTGTTTTTTCAAAAACACTTTAGATGTTTCTATTATAGTTTTGTAACAAGCAAGGTGAGAATTTCGTGAAACTTAAAAGTGACTATTGGTGTGACATGAAGAGATGTTAAATTAAACAAAAAAATGATCAGGATTGGCTACAGTTTGTAAACTTTCCTTTCAGCTTCTTCTCACATCCGTTTACTGTTGTGAGTGAGTCAAGGGAACAAGTAACAACAGAACTTCAAACCAAGGAAAACCAACTCAAGAAGCTCAGGGGAATCCAAGAGTGTAAGATTTGTGACTCACAGAACTTCGGGATGATATACAGTAGATATCTTACAATGAAATTAGGTATTTATGGGAAAGACCTTTGAAGAAAATATTTAAAAAACTAAAAAAATTATCTGTGACTTACTTAGAAAGCGTATAGAATTGAAAGCTATAGAAGGAAGCTTTGAATAGCTGTGCATTTGTAGCTTTGCTTTTGGTGGGAAGAGAGTATTTTCAGTTCTCACAATTTACAGAGGTGGATAAACTCTGGGATGGTGCTTTCCACCATTTCTTTCATCTTCTCATGTTGTTAAGTGTCAGACTTTCCGAATATTGTTTACGATACACATGGGATCCCAAGGTCATTGAAACTCATCCTGGTTTCTGTTCCTTAATTGAAAACTTAATACAGCCAATGCCTTCACCATATTTATAATTCAATTCATTCAACATTTCTTTTTTGTTTTCAGCAAGTTTATTCTGTGAGCTTTAAATTAACAAATTCGGTTTGAAGACTAATTTGTAAATTTAAAGTGTAAGTGTCAAGTGTAAGAGGTAATAACTAAGGATCACCATTTCTGGATTTTACAGTGCTTTACAAAGCTAAGAACTTTGAAATGGAGAAACTGTATACTATTAAATGTTGTCCATCTAGGGAGGACATGATCAAAAACCTCTAAAAAGAGGAAGTTCATTTTATGCCTCAAATGGATCCCCAAAATCTACCCTTCAGAATATGCAGCATTGTTAATGTTAGGAGACTAATAAAGTCTGATTCTTTCTTATATTTCTGGAGGCAGGAGCATTAAGGATAATAGTGAGGTGGAGAATTTCTAGACAGCCGGTGAATAGAAATAGTATACACTGTACATTAAGTAAAGCAAGATGTGTACTTTAAGGATCAGGTAATGCAACGCCACAAGCAGAAACATCTCTAAAAGAGTGATTCTCAAGAGATACTGTCACTCCCCAATGTTACAAATTGAAGAGGCTTTTCTTAGCCTTCCTTTTTTTGTAAAAAATAATTTCCGGACAGACTCACCTGAATAATTACATTGGCCTTTTACTATGTAAACATGTGGGTATCTCCTTTTGTGAATTTTTCAAAACCTTGAAAAATACGAAAGAGTGGTGAAAAATAAATGTGTTTTTGATTGCTGAATGTGACAATTTCAACATAAAGATGGTTTTAGCTGCTGGCTAGGAAAAACAAGAGCATAAGAGACCTGCTAACACCAGAGAACCAACATTCAAATCCAAATTTGTTAACTGTGCAATGATTTTAAGATGGAGATCAAGATTCACTTAGTTGGGTGGCAATCTTAGACAAAGGAGTAACAGAAGCATGACAGTGCAAACAGCCAAATAATTCACTTCTTAAAATGGTTTCAGTGAATGAGTAGAACCTAATGGCAAATGGACAGCTGTCGAGTACAAGAAACTTGGAAAGGTGTTCGCTGGTCTCTTCGATCTCTCCGCATTGGAAACACATTCACAACTTAAATATGTAAAACAAAAGTAAAATCCAAAATAAAGTCCTTTTAACTGAAAGAGCTAGCCGAAAAAAGCAAACAAAATCAAACACCATTCCAAACTTATGTAAAGATTTGTTTTTATTATCAGTGTTAAATACCATTACCAGAATTACTTTTTAATGTTTTTTATGCTGTTTTTTTGTATTTATGTTAAAGTCACATGAAGGCCTGAAGTGCCCCATTTCCAAATATAGCTTTTCCTCGGTTATTTTGTACTATGTACAAGACAGCTGTGCTCACTGGAGCTGTGACATTTACATGACTAAATCATAGCGTTGAGGACATTATGTGAAAAATAAAAAAAAATACATCAAGTTTTTAAATAAATACTGCATAATGATAAGTATGTACAAATCTTCCATACTCTGCATTTCTTCATACTGTATGCATATGAAAATCATATCCATATATACTTATATATATATGACTGAAAAATATGCACAAGTGTTGGTAAAATAACTTGTACCTCACAGTAGTAGTTCAGATAATTTAAAAAACAACTAAGGGTTAATGCTATAGTATTTATTTTGTCTTGGTTTGCTGGTACTTTACTGTCTGTGTAACTTCTATTTTTATTTTTAATTTGAAAAATAATGCTCAGAAATCTCAACCATACTTTACCAATATATAGCCTTGGGATGAACACATTAAACCAGAAAAAAGGCATTCCAAAATGTAGATAATGTGTGTCTTTATCTTCAAAAGACTCTTTTGTTTTCAGAACAGCAGTGTTGCTTATTTAAATTTGAACATGGGACATTTCACTTGAAACACATATAGTTACCGTAACAAAAATGATTGCATATGGTAATGTCAGAAGGAAACCTTTTTAAAAAGAAGAATACCTTGTTTCATCTTTAAAAACCTTTTCAACCTTTAGACTTAACTCTAAACTAAACTATTTCCCATTTGTGCAAAGCACATAATCTCTCAGTATTTGGTAGTTGGTCTTGGCATGTAAATAAACTAACAAAAATATAGTAAATGATGTTTATTTTCTGAAAACAAGAAAGAACTAAAAATTCATATAGCGTGGCAACTTTCCATTCCTACATACTGTGTGATTCATTCACTGAGTCACAAATAGTGCCTGTAAAATTGAACTGTACAGCAAAAGATTGTTACAGATGTAACCTTTGCTGTTGCTTTCAAGAGTAGACTACTTTTTACAGTGCGAGTTTATGGGCTTCTTTTTTTGCTTGTTTCACTTTTCTTTGTAACAATAGTAAAATAAAATATACTTGCAACCTTAAATATTTTGCTATTCAACCTCCTTTATATATAAAATGTTTTTTTTTATTTTCTTTCAGAAATAAAACATGACGCTGGGAGGTGGAATGTTTCATCAAACGTTTTAACAGTGGCCGTCAAAGCCCAGTCTCTAATTTGCTGTAGAATTCAATTTAAGGTGAGGGAGAAAAGTAACTTAGTTTACATGCACTGTACAAGAAACTGCAAAAATTCCAAATATCTTCTTTATCAAAACATGCTGAGTTACTATAAGGTGTGCCCAAGCCATGTTGCAAAAACCCTTTTCAACATGCTTGTTAAACAAATAAAATAAAAAAATAGAAATAAACAATACAGAATTGTAGAATAATCTACAGCTCTGTAAACATGGGGCATAAGAGGAGAATTAGGTAGCAATTACAAAGGTAGCAATGAAGAGTACAATGGTCACCCTAGGAAGAGGGATAAAGAGAAAAAGTGTACAATTTGCACATAATGTTCATCTTTATAAGGCTTGCGCCTTTACAATGAAATAAATACTTTACATTTATTTTAATCTTCTCTTTGTCACATAAACAGGTCTTGTTAATTTAATATTTTCTAGAAAGTATTCTTCCTAGCTTTTCTTAAATGAATGTCCGTAAAAATACAGACTAATGTATGGTCTAAAGGATGATAAACATGGAGTCTTTTTTTAATCACACTGTTGCATTCACTCCCCTTGAAAACCATGCACTAGTGAAATTTATTTTTTAAAAATAATATAAATTGTTGAAAATGGCTGATCCGTTTGTTTTTTTCTTTTCTTTTTTTGCAAGTTGCAGCCTCAAGAAAATAATTTTAAGAGTTTTTTTTTGTAAGTTCTGCTAAACTTGTGTCCATGCAAAAAAAATCTTTTTTTTCTTTTAAATTTCATACAATATATCAACAGAGAAATTAATATGCTAGATCATAAAAGTTCATTTCATTGTGGGTTCTGGTGTAAATATATTCTGGAGCATGGGGTGTAGCCACATCTGTATTGCCATTTTTTTTTCTGAAAATTGTCTTTCGAGATCCGCTGTAATTCTGAGCATATCCTGGAGTTATCGGTGGGTTGGGCTGGAGGTTTATCTGGTGTCGTTCCTTCTTCATGAATGCACAGACGTCCCTTAGTCTCCTTTAACTGTCCTCAAGTCTCCACGTCTGCAGCTGGGTTCGTTGGAGTGGCGTAGCCAAGCTTCCGGTTAAGGAGGATTGTGACCCAGAAGGGCACAAGAACAACAACAACGCAAAAATCATGACATGGGTTTAAAAAAGGGGCTTCTGTTGAATTCATCAATTGATTCTCATTTCTTTTTTCCATGGCTTCAAAGTGGATGAAAACCTAGAGTCACTGAATTCCACGTGCTGACGTTCTTTACAGCTTCCACCTGTTTCTCCCCAGAGGGCTTCTGTGCGCACAATGTGTGCAACATTCGTTGAAAACACAGGACCACTTTTGCATCCCTAGAAACGGGCTCAGAAGACACAACATTAAGCATGCAGTGTAACCAGGGCACGTGACCTGTTAAGACTGTTAACTTGAACGCTGGTTGCTACAACAATGCTATTTTCCTTGCACTGCTATGAACGAGCATAAGGTCCGGAGGAACTGTCAAGCGATGACTGGGAAGCTCTTCTAGTCAAAGGTGCCAAGGTTGGGTCCACCAATGAGGAAGGGGGAAAGAGCTTGAACCAGCCAATCACCATGTTGGACAAGTCGAGCTCGTCTAAAAGTATCTGAGCAGCTCCCATAAAGGATTTATGATCCATGCGTCCATAGTCACCCCACACAATAATCTACAAAAAAAAAGGCAGAAAAAAGAAGATGTGTGTTTATCGTGTTAAACGTCTTATACACACGGTTATCAAGATGAGACTATGTCATCACTGGAAGAAACACCTTAAATACTGTGAACAAACTAAAACTGCTAACCAAAATGCATCTTGGCACATTGCTACCCTGGTTTATTCGGGCTTACTCATACTTTATTTAATTTAGTTGTAAAGCTGATAAAGCAAACAGCAGTCTAGCCAAAGTGTCATGTTTATGTGCTTATGTTAAGTGTCAGACTATAGTTTTGTACCTCAATTTATGCCACGCATTGTTTTAGGTGATTGGTTTTGAACCCATCAAGAGTCGTTAATTTACTTTTCAAGTATGTATAAGTGACTTTAGCTCTGTAACGTACCTGGAGAACTTTTCCTGTTGGACTTTCTTCAAACGAGAGTTGCTGCTGGTAAAGGGGGTCCAACGTTTTTCTTGCTACTTTTGTTTTCTTTTTGGCTATGCAGACTCCATTGTCCAACAGGTATACCTTAACATAGGGTGCTTTCAAGAGAGAAAGTACATTTACTAGACATAAGCTTCCTAATGGACGGTAGAAACTTGTTTTTTATTATAATGAAAAGGCTTCAATAAAATAAAGGCTGCAGCATCAGTATGTAAACCGGAAGCATTTGAAGGAGTAAGGTGGTCAATATGGCCAACACAATCCACCACTGCACTTCAGAGATAGGCCGATATAAAATATGCATAAGCCACCTTGTTCTTTTGTTTCAATTCTTGTATTTTTTTGCATTTACTGGTACTTCTGCCGTTTGTTTTGTTTCAGGAAGTTGCTACTGAAGAACCAAGAGATATACAGTTACAGAAAAAAAGCCAACCATTAACCTGAAGCTACCTATCCTTCCTGAGGATCCTGGAAGCTCAGGGTTGGAGGCAGGACTGACAGAGGTCCCTTCCCATCCAACCAAGCCCAATGCAGGGTAACAGGGAAAGGGACAGTCTGGAACAGCCAATCAATCTTAGAGTGTGTCTTAGGGAGGGGCAGGGAAACCAACAGGGAGACCCGTCAAGGCTAGATTCTAATTCATCTATTTATCCAGATATAATTCCAATTTGGCACCCACTATATCCCATGGAAAAGCAGTTCTTGAGGATTGTTTATTTTGGCTTTAGTGGTTCAAGACTCGCAAACCTTTCTTTCCAGTTTTTTAAGTGATGTTACTGTACATGCAACTCAGATCCTCACCTGGCAGTGCCTTAGAGCCTGGTTTTCCCACAAGGCCACGAGCTCGGATTACTTCAACTTCTAGCTGACCTTTCTTGTCCATCATTCCAATCTGGATGTCACCTAAAACCATACAAAAAGTGTATTGACTAACTCTTGGAGCTAATAAAGAAGTGCTCATGGTCTACACTACTCCATTTCCTTATCGATAACACAGATGAATGTAAATGTCTCAGTAAAGACACAGATATGGTCAAAGTGCATTCTCACTCAGAAGAGATGATATTCTTATAAAAGTATCTGAGTGCACAACATTATTAAGATTCTATAAAATTACTAATCTATGACATTACATATAAATAGCATCATCACTTGTACACAAAAAAATACAAAAGATGAATATGCGTACCAATTTAAAAAATATATATTTTTACATATAGTATAATATTTGAACAACAGATGTACACAAATATAACATTTTGCCTGGGTGTTTGACTTGGTACTTTTCAATGTCTATATTTTGGTTAGTTTACTGATTTTAACCTGTTTATTATTCAACACGAGTGTTCCAAAGTTTTATTTATTTATTTTAAACTTTTTTAACATAACCACACAGCATTAAAACTTGCAAATTAAATATGCTTCAGACAATGTGAGTCCTCAATAAATATTCAGTAGGCTAAATGGCATTTTTCCATTATGACTAAATTAAGTGATTTTAGGCTGCTTTAATTTGAAGATTTGCACACACAAACAAATAGCCAATTAACATATATTAATCACTTCAAATGAAGATGTTTCCCAACCTTCAGTCTGGTTCAGAGGCAATTAAAAGGTGTTAAAAGTTGAATACATAAAATTATGTTTAAAAGGTAAGCATTTTGCTACAGCATTTTTTATAAGCAGCACAAAATTCAAATATAAAAAAGTACTGAACCATACTTGAGGTTAAACTGTGTTGAGTTTTACTTAAGCCTATGTTTGCCAGAGAATTACTAAGCTAAAACAAGAATGGAAATAGAGTTGAGTTGCATTTTGGTTTCTTAAAAAACTGTGCAAATTGCTTCCCAAGTGCATATGTAGGATCCCTCAAAACATATGACTTTCAGGACTGCCTCTGTCTATGTGAACCTAAATGAAACCCCACAAACCTACAAAGTCCAGTTTCATTATCTATATTATATATGTCAATTACTGGAAAGTAAGAATAAAGACAACAAGCACTGCTCACCCATAGATGGAGTGGCCAACGTCTGTCGGCCAACGAGCTGAGCAGGGCCCAGGCCATCGAGAAAGTCACTGAACTGACTATCTGACGCAAGTCGCACCCCTGGGAAAATGAGACTGGGGGGGGAGAAAACAGTTGCAATTAACACCTCTATTACCCGATACCCATATTCACCAAAGCCCAGCTACTACGAAGTTCTCAGCGGCAACACAGATTTAGGCTAAATTCATAGGGGCACTTTCTCCAAAGAAGGGTTGTGCTTATGATATTTTGAAAATGTGTAGATCGTAACTGTGAGACACAATAGCCGGACTCAAAAGCTTGTGGAATAGTTGCTTTTCATCTTGCTTTTTTCCTGGATAATTTCCTGTTCTGTTTGTTTGTCTGGCCTACCAATGTTTTTTGTGGATAAGCTTTTGGCTGAAGTTAAGAATCATACTGAAGAATATATAGTGTATGTATAACTTAAAAGTTTTGTTGTGGGCACAGCTGGAGACCTTGCAGGACTAAAGTCGGCGACGTGACGGCGTTTTTAAGCATCCGGGAGAGCCTCGCTTACTTTCCCTCTGAGCTGTAGCTGTTCATGCTGCCGTCGGTCGATTCCCGGCTGGCTTGCCGAGTCATCCGGCTCCTCATCTCCACTGCAAGGCCCGTCTCTGTACTCCTCTGAATGGTGCTGCGCAGCTTCTTCCCTCCTGCTTCTGTTGGACAAACAAAGAGCAAGAGAAATATGAATCCGACCTTGTTCACCCAGTTGTCTTCCACCTCTCCCGTCTGGATCTGCCTCTTTGTTCCAAAGAATGCTGGGGAAAAACAAAACAAAAACAACCACCACACCGAAAACAGCAAGAAATCACTCTTTGGTTTCTTTTCCATTGTTCTGGGCCTGATTAAAACAGTGGTTCCCAGCCTTGGTCCTGGTGACCTACACACCTGTTGGTTTGTTCCAGCCACGCCTTCAGTTCCCTTTGTTCCACTCAAACCCTTCACTGGCTTAATAATAAGATTAAACATGTTAGAGCTTTATCCACTGTATTGCATTAGTGGAAATAAATCCCAAAGTTGTGATGACAAAAAAAAATGCAAATATTAAACTGAAATAGATTTTTTAGATCAAGTAAGGCTTCAATTATCTAATTAAGGTGGGAAGGAACGAAAACCAGCAGGTGTGAGATTCACCAGGACCAGGATTGGGGATCATTGTGCTAAAACAAGCTGTATAGTCCTTTCCCTCTTCCTTACAAATCATTGGCATTTCTGAGATTATTACATTTGGCCAAGCTCTGCAATTACATCCTGCTTCTGAAGAAAGAACAATTTAATATAAAATCGAAAATATACAGTCAGAATAAATACAAGCAAAACATTAAATGTTAAGCTCTGAGTAACTAGCAAAAAAAAGTACAAATGGAGAATGCAAATAATTATTCCTTAAAATGCCATCCACTGTATTTCTTGCTGTATTTGTACTGTTACAGTATTTATTGTTACATACAGTACATTTATTGTTACATCCATCATGATGTAATCAAATGAAAACTACTCACAAAAAAGTTTTAATTTTAAGGGACTGACAGCCCAAAAAGAACTGTAATTAGCATACACATGGCAAAAATTTGCTATTTTTTATTAACATTAATAGATAGACTAGCCTTAGCGTTCAAAGGCAGCCCTGCACCTTTTTAGTTCAGACTCTATATCAATATTCCAGCAAAAGAATATTGTTTTGAATGAAAAAGATCATCGTGTTCAGAGTTATGATACCTCGGTGGCCCCAGAAATATGGAGCTGTCAGGGGGTGGACTGTACAGTGGTTTTATTTTTTCATCCAGTCAGACCATTGAAAATGCTCTAGTACCCATCTGGTGACGTAAAGTGACTGCTGACGTCTTCTACTGAACCTGCTTGTGATCCAGATACAAGCAATGTGACAGGCCCGGGCTACAGACACAAGCACGGGCACAAACCTGTCGAGCTATTTCTAACGTCAGCATGGCACTGGAAATGAAGCAGTGATCTGGAATGAGTAATAATCCTTGCAGGATGAATACGGTACATGAAACACACTTGACAGGGGTAAACCAATTCATGTTTTTTTGTCTCTGCATAAATGGAGACTTCCCACACAGAACTCTGCAAGCACTGGACTTTATGCTACAGCTGAGCAGCTGTAACATCCAAAGAAATAACTAAAGGACAAAATAAATGAAAGTCAGGTTTGCTAGAAAACAATGAAAAAATGCCAGTTTTCTTCCATAGTTGCATCCCATTACCTGACCACTTTGCGTTCTACATCAAAAAGACTTCCTGAAATATGTCTATCTAATGTTTTAGTTTATGCAGAAGGTATTATTTTAATAATGGAGCTCTTACTGAAAATATTGTAAAGAAAAAAAAAATACTATTTCTATGAGCAGCATTTACAGAAGGAAAGTAATGCATTAATGCCCTACGTGACCCGCCTTGAGAATTATACCTGAAAAGCATGGAAGAAATTAAGTGTTGTACGAATAGTCTTTATTTGCAAAATACACTGAGAATGAAGCATCGGTATACAGTATTTCCTAATGCCTAAAATATTACAAATGACTGTGGTCTCAAACATTAAGTTAACTTAATATATATAAGTTATACAATAAGTATTTGTGTACACTTTACCATTTGTGTTATCAATTTTGTATTTATTAAACAATATGTTTTTGTTTTTTGATTGATTGTGTCCTGCCCAGGAACTAGAGCTGTACATCAGCTTTTAGTTAGCCCTGGTGCAGCCAAAGAGCCCTGTATTGTCCCTGTTCAATACATGTAACTAAAATAAGTTAATTTAAGAAACAATCCTCCAGATGCAGGCAGCGAAGGTTTAACAAAGAAAAAGTGGTTGTCATTTTTTCCTGACACGCTTTGAAGCTTATACTTTCACACTTTGCTGTACCTAATTGAGCACAATTGAAACATGAACTAGCTCATTTGCAGGACGAGGATTTATGGAAGTGCAATCTCAAATACTGGTTGAATAAACAAGTTTCAGTCAAAATATAACAACAAAAGGCACATACCATACTAGAAATATATTTCCTTTTCCAGCTTTAATGCATAATTTGACAGTTTTCTAAAATTCATTGTTTAAATAAGTGTGAATGTTTTTTTTAATATCTAATTGTACTTTAGTTTCCGTTAATTATGCCAGAGTGAGTCATTCACCCCTTTAAAAGCACCAGTCCTTAATTATAGTGAGAACAAAATATATAGAACAAGTGTTTATTGTTTCTTTTATTATTTTTGTTTTTTATTTTGTCTTTATTTTAATTGATAGGAAAAGCAATATTTAATTTTTTTTGTCTTAACTGTCTGACAAGATATACAGTAGTAGATACAATGCAGTATCTGCATTTCGCCACTGCTCTTGCGATCCCCTTCCCTTCTTCAGGTGTGAGGGCCCCTCGGCCGAAACGTTGTGTTTTCTTTCTTCTCTTTTCGGCAAGGAATAAACCTATTACTTGTTCCTAAGCTATGTAAGGACACATACAGTACAGTAGTGTAGATGGAATAATCTAAAACTTTAAATCTGTAAAAATCTATGGATAGAATTTACATTTGAAAGTTAATTTATTCAAAAAAATAAACTTTTTGAATTACAGCTTATATCGTTGCGGGTTTAAGACCGTACTTTAATCAATGTGTATTAATTATCTGGATTTTAGTTATTCATGTCCTAAAATTACTTTCTTTTCACTAAATTGAATAAAATGTACTTTAAGGTACATGGGCTTTGTGTAAATGCTGGTTTTGTTTGAACCATCTACTGTACATTCCTGTATACTCTTCAAAATTAACATTTATTCAGAACATGTCAAAATACCTATTCTCATATCATGATCTAATGCCACTGACTGTTCATAGCACCACTACTCGTTGTTGCAAGAACAGAAAACGATCTAAATTAGTGAAATAATCTCAGTAATGAAATCTATCACCTAAAACTTGACTGATGAAACTCAACTGTGCTTGGACTTAAAATCATCACTGAACTGTCAATGAGCCACTTTCTGAAAACTGAGGAAAGGACAGAAAGGTGTACTGAGGTGTACCGTATTCCTGGCTTTTTATGAAGTACATTCCAGTCATTAGTGTGATATTTGTAAATTAATTTGCAACGTGTTTTCATATAAGTTCAGAGTATTACTTTACACTTAACTCAAGGTTAGCAATAAAAATGGTTTAGAATTACAAGTGCTTTCAAAGATGAGCCATTTGCAAGGACAATCATTTTAAATTCGAGCTTCTATTGAACTGTTTCTTGTCCTTGCAGTCATTTGCTTGGGGATGGAGAAAATGTAAAATATCTGTGATGAATAAATTACGCATTTACTTTTAGAGCTGCTAGTTTAGAATTCAAGTTTTTCTTCCAGACGAAAATGCTTGTCCATGGAGCTGGCATTTAGGAGCGTTAAGATAAAAATGACGGTCACTGAAATGTATCTAAACTTTGATCTACTGTACTAGAATCTTCTTTACTGGGGTGGCACAGTGGTGCATGTCACGCCCGACATCCCTCCCTAGAGGGCGCTCCACT